TAACTCCCCAGCTGGCCACTAGCTCCTTCAGGAGCCTGTGCTGGGGTCAAGTCGCTAGGTGGCGCCAGAGATCTCTCCTAGAGCCCTTGGGGAGCTGATTTTCCACCCCGTGGGACAGGGAGCAGAGCGGGGATGGTAGGGTACACCTCAAGGGCTTTGGGGTGCTGTGTCTGCCTTGTGCCCCACCGTCGTGGGGAACCCACGCCCCTAATTTCGTGCCCCGGGTCTCAGTTCCAAAGCCCTCAGTTCCAGGACGCGGGCTGTAGCCCAGATCAGTGGCGCGGGAATGGCGCCTTTTGAATCCCGCTCCCCTGCCTGGGCGCCTTGTTCCTGCTCACTCAGGGAGGGCCTCCGCAGTCTCCCCGCAAGCCTAGGTCGCAGGCGCGGGGACCTGGGCAGCTGCGATCCGGTTTGGATCCGCGCCACTTTCCGCGCAAGCTTACCGGGCGGCCGGGGCTGTGTGCTGGTGCTGGTCTCCTCCTGGGCGGGGCTCTCTTTAATGGCGCCTGGAGCTCACCTCCGCGGCGGATCCTGCAGGGTTCGCCTCAGCTCCCGTTCACGGGGTGTGGTGGCTGCAATAGTTCCTTTCCACTCACAGTCCCGCTTGCTGAGTCCGTTTTTCTTGTTGGCTGTTTTGGTTTGCTGTTTCCTCCTCTCTGCCGGTCGGAGAGTGCCGCCTCTGTGGGCGGGGGAGGGGAGCAGGGTTCTGCGCTTCCCTCCCTTCTGGTCCTCTTTTATGGCCACTTTCTTCTTCGGGCAGTTCGCTGGCGTCGTCCGTTTATCTTCCGTGTCCCAGTTCTCACTGGGACCTGCCGCTTTTCCTCCCTATTAACTTTTTTTAATGGGAGATCTTACTCGCAGCGTCTCCTCGCCGCCATGTTGCTCCCGTCATGAGCCCTTTAAACCACGATGCTGTGTTTTTTGAAAACTTAAAAAACTAACCTTTGAAAGCTGACCTAGGAGGCATCCAGAGGGGAAGGGGGAAGTGGAGGGGCCAGAGAAAAATTGGGATTGCAGTGGTGGATTATGGGTACTTTGGTGGTGGATGCTCTGTGGTAACCACACCATCTCCTGAAGGGGGTTGGGGGGGGTGATCCTATACTTACAAAATATCGACAATGAGGTAGATCAATGATACTTCAATTTAAAAAAAATAATTAATTAAAAGGGAAACATGGAGAACAAAGAAAGTCTCCTGCAAACTTATGATAACAAAGAAATGTAATTTAGTGGAATAATTGGGGAGGAATTTTTAAAGGTATGTCAGTCTCCTAGAAGGTAGAGTAAAAAAGTTCAACTGAAAAATAGGGAAGAAAATAAATGAAATCAGAAAATCAGTGTATTCATTTTCTCTTGCTGCTGTAACATACCACAGACTTGGTGATGCAAAAACCACAAAGGTATTAACCTGCAGTTCTGGAGCTCATTAGTCTGAAATGGGTTTCATTGTGTCAAAACCAAGGTGTTGGCAGGGTTGTGTGTCCCTTCAGAAGGTGTTTTAGGAGTGAATCTGTTCTTGCTTTTTCTGGCTTTTGGAAGCTGAGAGCATTCCTTGACTTACTAGCTTTTCCGTGAATCACTCCAACTCATGCTTACCTTATCACATCTATCTCTCTCATTCCTGTCTTCCTCTTAAAAAGACCCCTGTAGTTTATATTGGACCTACAATATATTTCACGATAATCTCATGAGTTTTTATCACACCTTCCATACAACAAAGTATATTCGCAGACTTGAGATTAATACATGAACATCTTGGGGTTGAGGGGCATTATTCTATCACAATGAAAATATCAGTTATGAAAGCCATAAAGTGGCATGAAAAAGAAAATGGGGGGAGGAGATAGCTGTGAAATAGAAGGATTTAAGTTTAAACATTGAAGGAGTTAAGTGGTAAGCAAACTATATGAAAGTAGATCTATAAGGTACACCACTGTAAAATTTGAGAACATCAAAGACCCAAAGGTTCGATAACCTTCCAGAGGGGTAAAGAGAAGTGCCAAGGACAAATGTTCAAATCACCATGATTCTGGGCTTCCAATATCAACACTGGACTTCCCAATATCAACACTTGAAGCATAAGCACAATGAAATGATGTCTTCAAAATTCTGATTGAATTTAATTCCCAGTTAATTTTGCCCCACCACCATCCTTTATATCCATTTGCCAGTTTCTCTCCCCTCTCCTTCTTAACCTAATAAGAGGCCTCACAGTATTTATTAATGTCCATTAGGTTATATGTGCTTTATCAAATTGTTATGTAAATATACAGTATTTGTTCTTAATGTTCTGACTTGCTTTACTAAACATAATTCTCTTACTCCATTTTGCTAAAAGTAGCTGCATTTCATCTTTCCTTATGGCTAAATCATATTATATAATGTGGATACATCACATCTTCATGATCCCGTCATTTATTGATGGACATTTAGGCTACTTCTGTGACCTACTGTAAATAAGGCTACCATGAACACATAGAACATGTAGTTTTTTGCACTGATTTCATTTTCTTTGTATAGATGGTCCAGAGTGGGATGGCTAAGTCATATGGTATTTCCATTTTTGTTTTTTTAAGGTTACTATAGCTTGTTCTCCATGATGGCGGCACTAGTTTATATATAATAGGGCTCCCCTTTCTCCACATCTTCTCCAGTACTTGTCATTGAAGGTCTTTTCAATATTCTCATGGGCATGAAATGGTATCTCATTGGATTTTTAACCTGCAAAAGTGGCTTGGTGGTAGTGAATTTTATGTGCCAACTTGGCTAGACTACAGGGTGCCCAGATGGTTAGTCAAACATTATTGTAAATGTCTCTGTTGAAGGTGTTTTTTAAAAAAGATTTATTTATCTATACATTCAAGAACTAGGGTACAGGCCAGAGGTGTGGGGGGTGAGACGATTCACCAGAGACAGAGTGGGGAACAGAACAGGCAGATTGGCTGAAATACATTGCTGAGGGGAGCAGCAGCCGAGACAGGAGAGGTTCTGCTGCACCATGTGGGTAGCTCCCTGGCCAGGGATAGAACTCTGTGTGCAGTGGCTGCAGATAGCTTCATAGGTTGCATCTTAACCCCCAGCACCACCAGGGAGGATCCAATTGAAAGTGTTTTCGATGAGGTTAACTTTTCAATCAGTGGATATTGTGTAAAGCAGAATTCCTCAATAATGTGGGTATACCTCATTCAATCAGCTAAAAGCCTGAATTGAACAAAAAGTCTGAGCTCTCCAAAGCAACAGAAGTTCCTCCAGCAGACTGCTTTCCACACCAGTCTTTACAGACTCAAAGCGGAACATCAGCTTTCCGGGATCCCCAGCTTGCTAACCCATCCTGCAGATTTTAGACGTGCTAGTCTTCACAATCATGTAAACTATCTCCTTGTAATGAATCTTTTTCTACATTACACATACCCTCTATTGGTTCTGATTCACTGGAGAACCGACTAATAAGGGCACAGTGGAGAGAAGACATGTAAAGAGCTTCTAAATTACCCATCATGTTCTATTTCTTAACCTGGGTGGCTGATACATGGATGTTTATTATGCTTTAAACTGTACATATAGGGCCTGCCTGGTGGCGCAAAGAGTTAAGACGCAATGTATGAAGCTATCCACAGCCACCGCAGCACAAGATTGATCCCCAGCCAGGGAGCTACCCACATGGCGCAGCAGACCTCTCCTGACTCACCCGCTGCTCCCCTCGGCAGTGTATTTCAGTCACTCTCCCTGTTCTGCTCCCTCCTCTGTCTCTGGTGAATCCTCTCTCTGCTCCACCTTTGGCCAGTACCCCGGTTCTTGTATGCATAAATAAATACATCTTTAAAAAAATAAAAAATAAACTGTACATATATACTTTGCATGCTTTTGGATGTCTGATTATTTTCACAAGTAAAAGTATTTTCTAAGAAAAATGTTTAAGGGATGAAAGTTATCCAGAATCTTAGCATCTCATATTCAAACATTTTGAAGCTTTAAAACATTTCAAAGGCAGCAATTTTTGAGTTATATAACAGATTGGAGAAGAATTGTAATTGTTTAGTAATATACAGCAAGTTTGTCAAAAATTAGACTCAAGCTTTTCTCCTATCACCACCAAAGGCTCAGGTGCACCACAACCGAAGAAGGCATTGCTCCTGGAGATGTAATGGGTATTAACACTGCTTTGCAAGAGATGCCAAAGAAGCCCTCATTCACCATTGCCTACCGTGTGGAATTCCTGAGGCTGCCAACGTCTTAATCAAAAACCAAGCCCAGGCCTCCCCGGTGGCACAGCGGGTTGAGCGCCACGCTGTATAGCTGTCTGCAGCCTCTGCAGCACGGGTTCTATTCCCGGCCAGCCAGGGGGAAACCCACATGGTGCGGCAGACCTCTCCTGCCTCACCTGCTGCTCCCCTCTGCAGTGTCTTTGGTCCATCTGCCTGTTCTGCTCCCCACTGTCTCTGGTGAGTTCTCTCACCTTCCCGCTCCTCTGACCTGTACCCCAGTTCTTGTATAAAATAAATAAATCTTTAAAAAAAAAAAAGAGCCAAGCCCATCTTTGTGTGGAGACCTTTAGTGCTGAACAGCAAATCAACTTGGTAACAAGAAGAAACTGAGGAATGGGTTGGCTTCTGTCAGACTGCTAGAGAGAAACCTCCTTAAGTTGTTGGTTGCTGCTGTGTAGTAGTTAAGGATTTGGCTGATTCTCGGCCAGCGATGTCAGGGAGGAGTATTTCAAGTGCAGGATATGAATTAACTTTAACGTTTGGCTATTAACATAATTAGATCAAGATGGGGCAATAGAAAGCAAAACTATCATGGGTACAAGCAGAGTGATTTAATTACCTCTTTCCATATAAATTAAGCAAATAAACACCAAGTCTGAATCTATTCAATTCCTAGAGATAAAATTATGTAAACATAAATTCATTTATGTAGCAAAGTTGTTAGGCAAAAGAGGACAAAAATTATACATTTTCTTTGAAATTTTTTATATTCATCTTTAACATCCAAAATGTTAAAAAATGTGCTCATTGCAGAAAATTTGGAAAATATTAAAAGTCACAAAGACCACTGGTAATCCTCTGTATTAGAGAAAATTTATGGCAGAAAGTGAAGGTAATGTTGACGGTAACAAGCACACACCCACACACAACGCATTTTGTAAGCTCATAGCGCCATTCGATTATCATGTGCTCTAGGTGTTTCCACAACAGAACTGTGAAACAGGTGGACTTGCCCCCCAACTCCACCACCTTCCATCCTGCACTTAATGTGAAGCTTAGGTAAAGAAACAGTAACTTGCTAGAAACACACCATTCCTATCTAGATCTGATCATTTCTGTGCACTCTGCCTAATGATACCTTAAGTCAGAAATTTCTCTCCAGACTGCCCATCCACTTGAATTAGTACCTACGGTCATATTCACTGCCAATGATAATTTGGTTTTCAAAGCGATGTGATTTAATTTACACCACAATTTTTTCCAAAGATTTCGTTACAAGAGAGTGGGATGTTTCTTACTTACTCCACCAAGTTGCCAAAGTGATTACTATTATTAAAACCCATGTGAAATAAGCATCCGTAACTATCTTGGACAGTGTTTTAAGCAGGTAACATAAAAAGTGTGAGAAATATTTAAGGCACATTCTGTTCCTCATGCTTTCAGATCCCTCTTGCAAAGGTTTTCCTACTTGAGTAATCAATGTTCTCTGAATTAATTCCTGTACTGCAGGCTGATATGCAGACCTACTGTAGCATATACTTGTAAGTGTATATGATCTTTAAGTCTCACGAGACTAAAATGATTTTTAAAGATTTATTTATGTATGCCGAGAAGAGCTGGGATGTAGGTCAGAGGTGGAGGTGTGGGGGTTGTGAGGATTCACCAGAGACAGAGTGGGGAACAGAACAGGCAGATCTACTGAAACACACTGCTGAGGGGAGCAGCAGGCGAGACATGAGAGGTCTACTGTGCCATGTGGGTTAGCTCCCTGGGGGATCGAACTTGTGCTGCAGTGGCTGCCAATAGCTTCATAGTGCTGAGACTTAACCCCTGTGCCACCAGGGAGGCCCAAGAGACAAATTTTTAAAAATTGTGGTTCATTCCTGAACACGAGGGAATGAATGCTGCTGTAAAACACCTCGTTCCTCCTCTTTGGTGCTCTGCTGTGAGGGCCGTGTGGTTGTTGGTGCAGTGCCTGTCGGGGAAGGTGGGGCTGGGGATAGAGTCCTTGATCAAGAATAGTGACCCACATAATCAATGCCATCAGGCCAGGGCTTGAGGATCAAGGATGGTCAGCTGGTTCCTGGAACCTGTAGAAGGGGTGCAGTGGGGACGTGGCATCATCAGAACGGTCATACCGATGACTTGAGCAAATGATTAAAGAGACTGAGAATAACAGGAGCTCCCGAAATAGAGGGAAATTAAGGCCTTTATTAAAGGACTAGAGGTATCAATGGAAATTAATGGTTTCTTATAGAGAGATGGCAAAATGTCAAAGTCACAAAAGAATAAGATGGAAGAACTGTCCCAGATTGCATTTATTTTTTTAAAGATTTATTTATTTATTTATACAAGCACTGGGTACAGTCAGAAGCACGGGTGAGAGAATTCACCAGAGCCAGAGCAGGGAGCGGAACAGGCAGAAGGACCGAAGTACACTGCTGAGGGGAGCAGCGGGCGGCAGGAGAGGTTTGCACGCCATGTGGGACCCTCCTCTGGTGGCCGGGGAGCAGCCGAGGATTGAACGAGCAGCTTCGCTTCGCAACCCAGTGCTCAACCGCTGCGCCACCGGGAAGGCCCCTAAAGCTAACTTCTTGATTTCAATAGTTATGTTACTGGGGTGATGCGAAAGAGCATCCTTATTTTTTGAAAATCTACACTGATTTTACTTCCTAAGTGGGTCATTAAACATCATGTTGGCAACTTATTAAGTGGCTCAGGGAAAAAATACATAGTAAATCTTGTGTTTGAAGAGAGAAAATAGAAAAAAATGTGACTAAGTGTTGACAACTGAGAAATCTGGAAGAAGAAATGCTATTATGGCATCTTTTTCTTTAAGACTGAAACTTCAGAATAAATAGAAAAGAAAACATGGACATTCTTTATAATACAGAACAACACATTCCAAGGGCTGTTAAATGTGTGTGTGTTCGGGGGAGTGCAGAAAAGGGTATAAACAAAAACGGAGTGGTGAGAGTATAAATACACACATGCTGCATTGAGTATATTCTCATATATGCAGAGAGCTTCTAGAAACAAACCAGGATCGACACAGGCTTGTTCCCTCAGATGGAAAACAGGTGGCTAGAGGAGAAACGAGAGGCTTTTTAACACTCAGAAACTCTGAACTTTGTACCAGGTGAAATGAAGTAACTTCTAAAAAAAGATAAAGATATGAACAAAAACAAAACTGATCCAGAATACTTTCATTCAGAGGTTGCCAAATCCAAGTATGAGGCTGGCTACCTTAGTATTTAAAATTCAGCTAGAGACCTCTATCCCAGAAAGTCTATTTCACTGGCCAAGATTCAGAGATCAGTAAAATGTCCCTACTTAATCATAAAATCTAGTGTGGTTTGGAAATTGTGCATTAATCCAATCACCTAAATGTGATCCTTTCTGGACCCAAAATTCTAATAAGGAAAATAGAAACAAGTATTTTCTATCCAGTAAAGGAACAAGAGTATAATCTAGGGAAACAATAACCCACAAGTAAAATCAGAAAATGTGAAACCAGTGTTTGCACTGATTCCCGAATCAGGCAACTTATATAAGACACTAACTTTCTGCTTCCTTATTACTAAGGGCCAGAAATATTGTTGAGTCTAAGGTCACCTCAATTTTACTTAATATAGATAATACATTCAAACACACTCTGCCTTCTTCAGAAGGAACATTCTACTTATTATTTACTTTATCTATGGCATTCTGGATGTCATGGGGTAGGCTCACCCCAAGTTTACTTTATTGTGTTTTGCATCTCAATATATATTAACTATGATTCCTGTAGGCATCAAATGGCAGAAAATAAGGACGAAAATTTTAAAAATCAAAGCAACCAAAATAACTAGAACTTTGGTACATACTTAAAAAACAGAAGTAAATACAAGAGAACTTAAGCATTCCCATGCCAGCAGTACATATTTATTATTATTCATGAATGGTCCAAAGACTTACATAGATGAAATAGCACTTAGTGACATGGAGTGGAAATGACAATTTTATATATTATTAAAAAAATACGTACACACACACACACATTCCCCTCCTCTCTCCACGGCTCACCATACATTGCTACAAAATTGGGAGGCATGAAGCTGGAGAAGTTCCAATATACATAACTCACTGAACTATCTCAAGCATAAAAACTGAACTGACGCTGCAAAAATAAAGTTTCTTTCCTCAAACATTTTGATCTGAGCTCAAGCAAAGCAGATAATGAACACAATGATTTTCATCCTATTCAATACATCTTAAAACGTAAAAGATTCAACAGTTGTGAAGTCCAGCAAAGGTAGAGGTTGTTGGAATGAATAATGCATTTCATCCAAAAAAAAAAAAAGTCTACAGCAGATCAGTTTTGTCCTGGCTCTCAAATATTTAAGAATCATAATTTACTACACTCAAACAGTAAGTGAAGCCAGAACAAACAAATGATAAACAGAAATCATTACTTCAAACAAGGCATTACTGCCCTTGGTTTCTTTAGACAAAAATTTCACTAGTGCAAGAGCATCATTTACCTGAAAGCTCAGGAGTCACAATTAAAGAGCACTCGTACAAAACTATTTCCTTTTTTCTGTAAAAAGTGCCACATACTATACAAATGAACAAACAAAAGCCACACATGGACTAATGAAAAACCGTTTGTCTCCATCTCTTGTCAATGAGGAAAGGCCAGAGTGATTCTTTGATTCCAATTCGAAATGGAGTCCGCTGGCCGATGCCCAAGGTCTCTAACTTGGAGCAGTCAAGCTGAGCGTTTCTTGGACGCTGTGCTCCCAAGACAGGACTGTCAGTTATCTTGGAAAGTGAAACAAAAACAAAGTTAAAAATAAATGCAAAGCTACATACTGAGGTTTTATATTCTCTACTTCATTTTGCCCTCAGTGCCAGGAAATCTGGCTTGATCCTCCCTGGAACCAAAAACAAAACTGCAACAATCAAGACAGTCATTTTTCCTATAAACTTCCATGAATAATGATGGGTTTTTATACATAATTTAGATAAGAGGAACAATATAAACAGTCAATAAACAAGCAAAATTCACAGATTAATACTAGAAAGTGAAGTTCTCTAACACCACCAAAGCAACAAGGAAAATGTTATCAATAATCAATATGCTAGGGATGGGGCATGTCTTTCAGATGAGGTTTTTAGGTTTTTTAAATATTTATTTATTTTTTTGTAGAAGAACTGGGGTGTAGGCCACAGGTGTAGAGAGTGAAAACATTCACCAGAGACAGTGGGGAGCAAACAGGTGGGCAAGACAGGAGAAGTCTGCTGCACCATGTAGGTCAGCTCCCTGGCCGGGGATCGAACTCAGGCTGTAGGGGATCACAGTGCTGAGTCTTAATGCCCAGGCTACCAGGGAGGCTCAGAAGGAGGTTTTAAATGCCATGCACTTACAGGTCTTAAGTGACTGCTGGGGAGGTTGAAGGCATCCGCAATTGCACAAGCCATTTCATACTTGGTCATCTGTTCATTGCCAGACCAGTGAAAGGTTCCCTTAATTGATGGATCCTAACAAGGACACAAAAAAATTCAGTAGTTTCAACTTTTTGAATGAAGTGGAATAATAGCAGGCTTGCCAAAAAAGCTCATTCTAAGGGTCCAAGGACTGTAAAATGCATCCCTCCCTTCCCTAATGCTCATCACAAAATATCAAAAATCAAATTCCTATGAATATTCCCAGCTAAGCAAGAAACGCAACTTACGAGATTCAGCCTAAATTTTTTTAGTACACTTTTAGGTATACTAAAAGTGATTAGAGATTTTTTTTTTTTAAGATTTATTTTTGTTTATGCATACAAGAGCTGGGGTACAGGCCAGAGGTGCGGAGGGTGAGAGGATTCACCACAGACAGAGTGGGGAACAGAACAGGCAGATTGACCGAAGCACACTTCTGAGGGAAGCAGAAGGCAAGTCAGCAGAGGTCTGCTGCGCCATGTGGGTTGCTCCCTGGCCAGCCGGGGATCAAATTTGTGCTGCAGAGGCTGTGGATTGTTTCATAGGTTGCGTCTTAACCCCTTTTGCCACCAGGGAGGCCCGATTACATATTTTTATGGAAATCCAAGCCCAATTTTACAAGTATTTCTAATTACCCAGAAAAGCTAAAACCAAAAATCAACAGAACTAGTATTCAAGGTGACATTATTAGCCATAAACATATATTTAAGTACTGATTATTTAAAATAAACTATGAACTATAACTATTTCTTTTATAAAAATGAATTTATATATACATAAATCGACACTCATACTACTAATATTCTAAACTTAAAAGCCTCTAACCTTTCTTTTTATGGCTATTCTATTTAGCTCCAACTTTTTCTGAATGTTTAAAATGAACACCTATCTAATGGGTTTACTTTTAATTAAAAATTATTCATGAAGTGGCTAAAATTATCATTTCCTATGTAGATTCTCCTTTGGGGCTCCACAGATCCTAAACCACAACTTCCTAAGAAACATTAGGAGATTGTTTTGTTACTACCCAAAGGGAAAAAAAAAAGGCTTCAGACATTTGGCAGTAAAACAAAGAACACACAGGGCCTTTGGAAAGTAATCTTCTGACAAAGCACAGTATTTTTATTAGTCCTGAATATAGCCTACTACTTTCATTTGGTCTCCTTGTAGTTGTCAAAAACACTGCACATTTATTCAGTAACAGCATTTTTATTTTATTTTTAAGATTTATTTATTTATGCATATAAGAAATGGGGTACAGGCGAGAAGTGTGGAGGGTGAGAGGACTCACAAGAGACAGAATGGGGAACAGAACAGGCAGAATGAGTGAAATATACTGCTGAGGGGAGCAGCGGGCGAGTCAGGAGAGGTCTGCTGCACCATGTGGGTCACCTCCCTGGCTGGGGGACTGAGTTCGTGCTGTAGTGGCTGCAGAAAGCTTCATAGATTGTGTCTTAACCCTGTGTGTCACAAGGGAGGCCCAACAGCATTCTTATGAAGATGAAAGTTAGGGACTTTCCCTCCAGAAATTCTTCCTCCCAAAGATTCTTACCAGCATTCTCTTCTCTGCTAACTGGCGACACACTGTGGCTACGTCTTTGACATGCGTGGGGAACCTCTGCTGCCAGTGGTCCATGTTTGCGGACTTGTTGCTAAACTGCACTTTATCAAACATAACAGTCACAGCACTTTCCTCAAGCTTTTCAACTTCTCCATATAGAATTGGAATCCTCAAAACAGCAGCTCCTGGAGATTAACACAAGTAGTGATGGTCTAAGGTTAGCCAGTTGAAAGTGTATACACACTTGAAGACTGACAGCAGAAAATTTACAATAAACCAAAATAACACAACTCACCTGTAAAAACATTTAACAAATGTGATCCCAAATATTAACTGTCCATCATTTGCAGTGTTTTCATATATTATTTCTTCATTATTATGATCATTAAAAATAAAACTGATCATGACAAAACAATGAGTGATCCTTAGTTGGATCCTAGATCCAATAAAATCCTTTACTGCATTATATTGATAGACTGCTACTATTGGGGAAGAAATCTTATAGATAGATTATGCTTTGTTATTGTATTAATGTTAAATTTCCTGTGTGATAAATGCATTGTAATTATGTAAGGAACATCCTTGGCATATACAAAAGTTAAGATACAATGAATTCTGGAGTGAAATTCAACTAACTTTCAACAGGCTCAGAAAAAAAATATATATGCAAAAAACAGATCCAAATATTACATATAAACATAATACATATAAGTATATAAAGGATATGTGAAGGAGCACCATGTTAATTTTTTAAACCACTAATTAAGGGACTCTGAGGTATTTCAATTTCTAACCTCCCTACTGAGAGGTTAGAACAGTCAGGATAATTAGTACTTTAATTGAAAAATCAAACTTCTTTAAAAATTCACTTAGTTTGGGCCTCCCCGGTGGCGCAGCGGTTGAGCGCTGGGTTGCGAAGCTGCCCGCTGCCTCTACAGCACTGGTTCGATCCCCGGCTGCTCCCCGGCCACCAGAGGAGGGTCCCACATGGCATGCAGACCTCTCCTGCCGCCCGCTGCTCCCCTCAGCAGTGTACTTCGGTCGTTCTACCTGTTCTGTTCCCCGCTCTGGCTCTGGTGAATTCTCTCACCCTCCTGCGCTTCTGACTGTACCCAGTGCTTGTATAAATAAATAAATCTTTAAAAAAGAGGAAAAAAAATGCTGGTATGCGTTCAAAGTGGATTCTTTCTTAGGAACCAGAAAAGGAACTGAGTTCTGATTTACAGAAAGGAGGAGCATTTAAAAAAAAAAAAAATTCACTTAGTTTATTGACAACTATATGATGGTATATGTTCAAGGACTGTTCCTGCATAATAATTTATAATACAAAATGAAAAAGAAAGTACCTGTTACTATTATACCTATATGGCATCTAAAACTCTAGGTGATATTTCTCAAGGATTAGACTGTCTAGGGCAGGGGATCATTAAATTAATTCCTATGAAGACCAGTAAGAAAAAGATAGCTCAGAAATGGTTCTATAGGAACTGAAACACAAAGATGGGGATGGAAGGGAGCAATGTTACAAAAGAATAGGCATATATTTTTTAAAACTCACAAAAAATGCTTCCATTTAGAATCACATTTTGGTGCTGCTCTGAGATAGCATTACAAGAGACTTTCACTCTTTACAATTTAAAATTTAGTGCTTTTTTCTAGGAGGGTATACTTTTTATAATAGGCAAACAGTGCATACACGACATAGGAAAAAAGATAAACAATATATCTAACAAAATACCTCAAACTAAGAGAAATAAAATTGTCACTTTTTGGGGAAAGATTAAAAAGTTTCCACGATGTGATTCTTTTTCTATATGAAATAGTCATGTATAAACTGATCATGAAAAAAGTCTAGAAAGAATCATAAAAGCAGGGCCTCCCTGGTGGCACAAGGGGTTAAGTCTCAGCACTATGAAGCTTTCTGCAGCAGGAGTTTGACGCCCAGTCACGGAACTAACCCAACATGGGGCAGCAGACCTCTCCTGTCTCACCTACTGCTCCCCTCAGCAGTGAATTTCGGCAGATCCACCTATTCTGCTCCCCGTTCTGGTGAATCCTGTGGTGAATCCTCTCTCACACACACACTTCCCCCCACCTCTGGTCTACACCCCAGCTCTTGTATGCATAAATAAATAAATCTTTAAAAAAAAAAGAATAAAAAAATAATCTTTAAGTCTTTCACAATTTCTAAAATCCTTTCTAACTATATTTTCTAAATTTTCTAGTTATATGTTCCCTAATTTCTTTTAAATTACAAATATATACATGCATATATATACACATAAACACACGTATATAATAAACAGAAGTCCTCAAATATAATCAAGAGGTTAAAAAGATTGTGTCTTACCTAAATTGTTCTGTAGGACAGCCTTTTCTCCTTCTAATTTTGTTTTACCATACAGATTTAGGGGACATGGTATGTCTTCCTCTCTGTAAGGTGGATTTGTTCCATCAAATACATAATCTGAGCTAATATAGATTAGAAATGCTCCAATTGCAGCTACAAAAAAGGGATAGAAGAAAATAAATCTATTATATGACAATATTTTTAATGGAACTTATAGGTCATTCTTCATTTATGAAAATAAATTTCTGATAAGCAACCTATAAAATTTTAATCTTTAAAACTCTGCAATCCATTTAATATTTTATGAAGATTTTATAAAGCCATCATTACCTGCTTCCTTTGCTAAATTCCCAGAAGCATCCACATTAAGTTGAGCAGCAGCATCTGGCTGATTTTCTACAACATCTGGCCTTCTCTCTGCTGCACAATGTACTATAACGTGGGGCTGGAAGTTAAGCATTGATGTATTTTTAGCCCAAAAAGGAAAAAACAAGAACTATAGCCTTCTAAGAGTAAATTATTTCACAGAAAAAAATGTTTCTTAAAAATGACACCCATTCATCTATGCACTGTAATTTTTAACATAGTTTATCATGCTTCCCTTTTCTCCCCCAAGATCTGAACTTCCTTAAAACTATAGACAACCTGAAAATCAAAGAGCAATTTAGTAATCCTCAGGGTGAACCAGACAACTCTACATCAGGGACTACATTTAAATGAAAATAAATTCATCTCCTAATTTAGATGGGGAAAAAAATGAACTAATACTTCTGTAATTTGATCAAAACAATAAGTCTATGCTAAAGGGAGAGGAAAATCAATGGCAAATTAAATTCATAAACTCAAATCTGAGACCAATAATTTAAAAGTCATATCCACAGCTAAGCATTTAGTATGCTACACAAGGCCTATGTAAGCCAGGTCTTCATAATCCAATGGATAAGACAGGTAAGTAAAGAGGCTTTTTCAGGATAATAAGACAGACATGAAGAGAGGGCTGCAGGGGTCTCCCTGGTGGCATAGGGATTAAGCACCGCACTATGAAGCAATCTGCAGCCTCTGCAGCACAAGTTCGATCCCCGGCCCACCAAGGAGCAACCCACATGGTGCAGCAGACATCTCCTGACTCACCTACTGCTCCCCTCAGCAGTGTACTTCGGTCAATCTGCCTGTTCTGTTCCCCTCTCTGTTTGTGGTGAATCCTCTCACCCCCCACATCTCTGGCCTGTGCCACAGCTCTTGTGCGCATAAATTAAAAAAAAAAAAATCTTCAAAAAAAAAAAAAAAAAGAGAGAGAGAGAGGGTTGCAGAGGGTCCTTTGTGAGAAGGGACAGCTACTTTCCAGAAGGTTAGCCAGACAAGATGTGGGAGGACCACACTCCGGAATTCCTCCTTCACAATGGCTGCTGGAAGAGACGGTTTTCAAATGTGAATGTGCATAATCTGAGGTATGCCTTAAAATACAGAGCTCTGGGTCCCACCACAGATTTACTGAATTAAGATCACTGTGAGTATGGCCTAAGAACAAGTTTCCCTAGCGGTTCTAATGCAGATGTTTCTTGGATCATGTTTTTAGGAAAAACTTGAACTCTCAATTCCATCAGAAAGTGTAATGAACCCAAATTTTTATGTGACCATAACCACCAAGTTACTTAACTTCTCTGAGCCTTTCCTCATCTCTAAAATGGACATGACAGCATCTTTTCAGGATTGTTAAGGTTTACAAATAAGATTTTTAAAAGCCCTGGCATAGAAAGTGTTAATCAGAAAAGTACTCTATAAACACAAGCTTTTTAAAAAATGCTTCATTAATATCTTGTCAACCTAAGTCTCAACCAAATCTCTGTAAGAATTGCACATTCTTGGGCCTCCCTGGTGGCGCAGCGGTTGAGAGCTGGGTTGCGAAGCTGCCCGCGGCCTCTGTGGCGCCAGTTCGATCCCTGGCTGCTCCCCGGCCACCAGAGGAGGGTCCCACATGGCGCACAGACCTCTCCTGCCGCCCACTGCTCCCCTCAGCAGTGTACTTCGGTCCTTCTGCCTGCTCTGCTCCCTGCTCTGGCTCTGGTGAATTCTCTCACCCTCCCGCGCTTCTGACTGTACCCAGTGCATGTACAAAAAAAACAAACAAATAAATAAATAAATAATGCATGCCTCTTAAAAAAATAAAATAAGAAGAAAAAAGAATTGCACATTCTTGGCCATGCTAAGAAAAAAAAAAGTACACTATTGTTGCTTAATAGGTTAGAGCCTTAGTACAGCAACTTCCTTAAGAACAAGAACATTTTCTAGTCATCCGAAACAAGTCTTAGTCTACTTTGCATATATATTAAAATAAACACTTTAAACCATACCTGAAAATCATGAATGATGTGATGAACTGCAGCAGCATCCAACAAATTCACCTGTTCAAATTTTGGTCTCGCTCTTCTAAAACCACAGCCAACAGCATGCCAATTATTCTGCTGAAACTCTTTGTATACAGCTCTGCCAAGCAGCCCCGTGGCACCAGTAATCAGAACCCGCCTACTGGGGATGTTAACTTCCTCCTAAAAGGTAAAAGGTGGGGGAGGGGGGGGATTGTTTACTTAGAAATTTTTCTCTCAAAGGAATGAAACATTGTCATGGCTTATTTACTTAAATACTTTAGCTCTAAGTCATGTGATCCATGCTCTGTATCTCCACATCAGTTCTTAAGTGAGAAGTTAAGACCATTCAAGTTGTATCAACATTTGCATCACTTAGAAGGTTATAATCTTTACCCAAAAACAGAAACAAAGATGATACTGCCAGGAATTACCTACTCAAATATTTAGATTTCTGATGTTAATAATGGGAAATCGTATTTTTATGATCAATGGTGTGCAAATGAGTAATAAACAGCAACTTCAATTATATTCTTTGGCTTATTAAAAATGCACAGGGAAGCATACTAAAAAAAAAAAGTTAGTTTCAGGCTTACTTATTTTAAAGTTTTGATTAAAGAGTCTAGCCAAGTCATATCTTCACCAATCTCTTTACAAGCGGACATTTTTGGCCCTCAGTTTTTAATCCAAAATTTCCTTTCAAATCTCACTGATTTGTCAGATTTTGATAGGTCTAAGTTAGGAAATTGACATTTCACAGAATTTATGTAGTTACACAGAACAGTTAGAACAGTTAGAATTAATTAACAGAGAATAAGAAGGATTTAAAAATACAAAAATATTTTTAGACTTTTATGTGCTATTATGAAGCAAGGGGGAAAACACCCAGCAACCTTACAAACTAAAATTAAAAGACACAGTTTTATAATTGTTCCCTTCTTCCCAAGATGGGTAACATCAGGTTTCTCCCAGACTATTGCATAAAATCAACATTTACTATTAAGGAAATTAAAAAAAAAAAAAAAAAAACATTAAATCTTATCAGCTTAAGACCTTTTTTGTCAAGTGTTGCCACAGTCACCTGAAATAACAGAAAGTTTACATATGCACACAATAACCAAAGACTTTCCTTTCTTAAGTGCTGAGTTCAGATAAATTGAAATATTCAAGTTAAAATTTTTTTTAAAAGATTTATTTTTGTGTAGAACTGGGGTATAGGCCAGAGGTGCAGGCAGTAAGAAGACTCAGAGTGGGGAAGAGCACAGATTTACTGAAATACACTGTTAAGGGGAGCAGCGGGTGAGACAGGAGAGGTCTACTGCACCATATGTGGGTTAGCTCACTGGCCAACGATTGAACTCAGGCTGTAGAGGTGACAGTACTGAGACTTAATTCCTAGGCTGCAAGGGAGGCCCAATTATTATTATTCCCCCCCCCCCAAGAAAAGGCTATTCAGGGCCTCCCCTGGTGGCACAGCGTGAGCAGCCCGCGGCCGCTGGCAAGGGTCCCACATGGCGCGCAGACCTCTCCTGGTGAGCCCGCTGCTCCCCTCAGCAGTGTATTTCGTCAGTCTGCCTGTTCTGCTCTCCGCTCTGACTCTGGTGAATTCTCTCACCCTCCCGACTTCTGACTGTACCCAGTGCTTAAATAAATAAATAAATCTTTAAAAAAGAAAAGAAAAGGCTATCCAAACCACAGGAAAAATCTGAAATGGTTTTAAGACTGACAGAGTCAGTATAAAGGCAAACTCTTAAAGGTATTTTCTCCTCAGTTCAAACAGTTTCAAGATATTTTAAAAGGAAAAGGGAAATCCATCTAGATCCTGTTGTCAAACATGGCTCTGAGCCCCCGTGATCTATGAAAACAAGGATTTCAGCCAGCAAAATACCTCCTTTGAATTTTGGCAAGAGAGCAGGTCTACAAAGACTAAATTGTAAAGAGGAGAAAGCACGCCAAAGCTAGTAGAGATATAATCAGAAAACAATTTACATAGGCTAGACACCATAAAGATCCCTAGGAAAGCACTAGAAAGGGCTATGATTTGGTACAGTTTCTGAGTGTCTCCCTTTTTCCTTCACTCTGAAGATGCAAAGGAATAGATAACAGCTCTTAGGTCAGTGCTTCTCATGCTTCAGGGCTCACACACAGCTGGCAAGTCTTCCAGATCCAGTAGATCTGGGGTAAGATCTGATAATTTTATAGCCTGACAAGGTCCTGATGATGATGAAAGAGGAACTGTAACTGTGAACACCAGGAAAGCTCACTCTTCTTACTCAAGTCAAAAAAATTGCCATCTACCTTTCCAGAAGTGACCACATCTTTCCCTCTTAAAAAGGAAAGGAGCAAAAATCAAAGGCAGCACGAGGCAATCCACAAAGGCCATTGCACAGTGAATGAGATGTCTGCCACTCCACTAACGCCTTGCAGCATGCTTTTCCCTCTTTTCAACATCTCTGTTAAATGAATGAAAGAGCTGCATCATATACAAGTGCCAGAATTGGGGGATGTTTTTTGGTTTTGAGTGCATCTTAACCTAAGAGCCCCAAATAATCAAGGGCAACTTAGACTTGATGAAAACACAGTATTATGTTACAAGTACTAGACTCTTTAGGGAATATACTTTTAAAAAGGATTGGGGTTATTGAATAAAATACCCTATTTCCTGGGATAATATGTTAAGTTCTCAGATGAAAATATTTTCTTTATTAAAAAGATTCTAAAGTAGAAGCATTTTTGAAAGTGGAAAGAATACTATACAATCTTGAATTTGAAAAGCATTAAATACAATATAAACATACACCATCCCCTTTGATCATAAGAACAGCCTTTTCAGAGACATAGGCCAGACATTACTTCTCAACTGAGGATTCTGTAGCCTACATTTTGCCCACAGTAAAAAAGGGAAAAGGTTGGGACCAGAACTTCAGTCTCCTTGCTTCAAAAACATATGAAAAAAAGAAAATACAAATACATATGAGATTTGTCTCAATCCTTTAACCTTTTCCTTTCTCACAATTCCGTTTTATCTGCTCTGCCACAAACTGTAGTATTCAAAAGTTACTCCATCTCCTCTAATTTCCTCATTGGTAAATGAGGCAGTTGGAAAAATGTCTAGGGCGCATCTAGCTCTACAAGCCCATAATTCTAACCTTTTCCTTATCATCCTTACCACAAAGAGGGTCTTGAAAAATAAAAGGTAGCTCACTTATTTCAATATAACTCCCTCTTTTTCACACAATTCTCTCTTGAGACTCAATCACCACCTTCTGTCACCGGCAAAGGAGGCAAAACAAGAATTTTTTCAGTCAGATTACAAGTTTATTGGTGGCTAGCAAATAAAATATCCATCACTCTGAAATAGATGGCGAAAATATCTCTATTTTTGAATTTCTATATACAAACAGAACTCTATTCAAAACTTTTGTTTTGATTTTTTTCTTTTAAAAAGAATTTCTCTTCTAAAAATAACTCTGGATGTTTACTCCATGAATTATGTTAGTCCTGTAAAACAGAAATACCCAAACACTGTAGAAACTGAGAATGGGAGGGAAAAAAGTTGTCTAGTTAACCCAAACACAACTGAAGAGTTGAAAATATTTTGTCTGCCTAAAAAGTCTACTTTCTCAATTTGTATCACTATCTTATGGTATTTATTACTATCTTATTGTATTTTATCTTATGATAAAATATATCAAAAATCAGTTTAAGACACTCTAAATATATTTGCCTCTTACTGCACAAACTCTTCAATACACTGGCTCTTCAAGCCAGTAACTTCAAATGATCCTATTTATAAACACCAAAAAAATTCATGAAAAAGTAAACACATAAAAATCGACAGAGAACTCTTACTATGCTATCTAGTTAAATACCACACTAGGCAGGTAATGGAAACAGTAAGTCTTTTAAAATGGTTCCGCATAGTACTATGGGGCAGTGATTTTTTTTTTTACTTTGGCCTACTTGCATTAACTCCTTAAAATGTGCTAGAAAAAGTAGAATGAATTATCATTGGTATCTTACAAGGAATCTTCTTAAATTGTCATGGTAAATATAACTACTTTGTTAATATTTACAATCTCCTGTTAAATTTGGCAAAGTTTCCCATTCATTTAACTGATCCTCACAACACTCCCCTGTGAGGAGGCACTCTGAGATATTAAGAAACTTGATTACCTATGTGTCAGTGGTCCCCTTGTCACTCTTGCTATATATATATCCTAGGCAGTATTTTTAATAGGAACCACTGCGGTCTGCTTCTCTAACAAACTATTATCACAGTCCTCATTCTCACCAGTGAGTTTTAATTATACAAGTTTTGAGAACAGCGAATGTGGGCAAAGCTCTTGGTTTTGCCATTTTTAATGAAAGAAAACATGAAAATCCTTTTTTAAATAAGTTACGTGAACTACTGGGAAGAGATTAATCTTTTGGAATAAACATGTATATGTGTCCATAGATGTAAATAAATATATATTATGCACTCAGCACAATCTCGGAGCTTAAGAGTATTAGATGGATTTAAATAGGTCACCTATGCCCAAACCCTAAGGTGATTTGAAAACACTAAATATGCTATTTGAAAGCACAAAATTTTGCATTATCAAAAACTGCTACCTCCTATACCCTCTTCACCGTCACAAAATGTATTAGCCTGGGGGCCTCCTCGGTGGAGCAGCGGGTTGAGCACAGCACTGTGAAGCTGTCTGCAGCCTCTGCAGCGCTGGTTCGATTCGCGCTGGTCAGGGAGAGACCCACATGGCATGGCAGAACTCTGTCTGGCCCGCTGCTCCCCTCAACAGTGTACTTCGTCAGTCTGCCTATTCTCCTCCCGGCTCTGTCTCTGGTGAATCCTCTCACCCTCCCGCGCCTCTGGCCTGTACCCCAGTTCTTGTATAAAAATAAGTAAATCCTTAAAAAAAAAATTATTAGTCTGGGCATTAACAAATTCTTATCCCTGGTCCTTGACAGATTCTGTGGGTGGATGAATGAATGCTGGGGGGGGGGGCTGGAATGGAACCAAGGAAAGAACACAGGGGTGTGCAGTAATCTAGGGATGGATCCCTAACACAGTTACTTCTTCCTTTATGTAGCCTCTGTAATGGTTCGAAGCCCTAAACAACAACAAAAAACGGAATTTAATCCCACCTCCACTCTCACTGAACGAACTTGGGCTAATGTGCCACCCTCATCTGTGAAGCAGGAAAAAAAAAAGTACCTTGCAGTGAAAATGAAAGCAAATGATGCACGTAAAGTGCTTAACACAGTGCCTTGTATAATAAAACCAAGAGTTAAGCAGATTGTCAGCACCCAAAGCTCTTATTTCTGAAAATCTACCATTCCCTTCCCTGAAATACGAGCAGTGAAGGCCGAGGAAGACGAATAAATGATGAAAACAGGACTCAAGAGCGAGCATCCCAACAGCTCCAAAGCCCCCTCCAGCCCTCTCCGCTCCAGGGAGACTTGAAAGTGAAACCCGACCTACGGGATTCCTGCAGGAAACACCCAAGGGCGCTCGCGGCCGTAAACACTCGGCGGCGCCGCCCTCGCGCCCGGGACCCGGCGCTCCAGACCCCGAGGACGCGCTCCCGCCAGCGGGCTCGCCCCCTCCGCGCGCCCGCTTCCCCTCAGCCCGGGGGTCCGACTGGCTCACCTCCACCAGCAGGCAGTCCCCGGGAGTGAAGTGGATGGACAGCTCCTTCTCCCGTCCCACCATGCCCGCCGTCTTGGAGCCGCCGCCCCGGCGGCCGCCACCTCCACTGGCCCAAGACCTCCGCGGGCCGCAGCTCGTCGCACTCGGCCCGCCTCCCGGCCAGCCCCTGCTCTGCTTCCGGCTTCCGCCGCCAAAGCCGCGCGCATTGATTGGTCCGGGCGCCAGTGACGCCCCAGCAAAGGGCGGGCGCACACAGGACGCTCCAGCCCACGCGCCGACTCTTAAAGGAATACGCCCCACAGAGCCCTAGGCCTTGAGCAACTAATAGCAGGTTTTTTGGGAGGGGATGGTTTGCCTGCTTCCCTGCTCCGAGTCTTCTTTCTTCTTGACTAGGAACTGGCTGAAGCAAATTACAAGGAGTTATAAATGTGCAGACTGTGCGCACTGCCTAAGCATTCACCCGACAAGTGATCTATAAAGTGACAAACATTCTAAAGAATGTTCCGGGAGGGGGCCTCCCTGGTGGGGCAAGGGATTAAGATGCAACCTATGAAGCAGTCCGCAGCCATTGCAGCACGAGTTCTATCCCTGGCCAGGGATACCCACATGGTGCAGCAGACCTCTCCTGACTCACCCGCTGCTCCCCTCAGCAGTGTCTTTCAATCTGCCTGTTTTGTCCCCCACTCTGTCTCTGGTGAATCCGCCCACTCCCTGAGCCTCTGGCCTGTACCCCAGTTCTTGTATGCATAAATAAATAAATCTTTAAAAAAAAAAAAAGAAGAATGTTTGGGGAGCCAAAAGGGAGAGGCCGTGGAGGATAGCAAGGGCCTTCAGGGTGTTTTTAGGAAGAAACTAGGAATAAAAATAAAAGTGTTGGCAGCTGAGTCATGAACACCTCAAGAACCCATTTGCCTTTCTGGGATGCTAAAAAAAAAAAAAAGTACGTGTGAAATTCCAAAGAAGTCAAAGTCTATTTTTAAGCAGTTAAAAATAAAAACGTGGGGATTTGGGGAGGGAGAGGAGGGAGGTGAACGATTTTGGTGCCTCTTCCAAACGCAGATTCTGAGACTCTTCCCCACGATTACAGAATGAGGAGCTGAGACAGCAGAGCCCTGGCTCTACACTTGGGTGTCAACAGGCGTCCAGACCTTACTTGGTGAAGCAACGCCTTGGGGAGCCGAGCCTCCAAAACCACCGAAAATTAAAGGGGAGAGAGGACCCTCAGTCGCCGGTGTCGAGTTTTGAAAGCATCAAATCCCGGCCTCCCTGGTGGCCCAAAGGGTTAACCACCGCAGTATGAAGCAATCCTCAGCCTTTGCAGCTAGAGTTCGAGGCCAGCCAGGGAGCTACCCACATGGCTTGGCAGACCTCTCCTGACTCGCCCCCTACTCTCCTCAGCAGTGTATTTCAGTCAGTCTGCCTGTTCTGTTCCCCACTCTGTTTCTCACACCCCACGCCTCTGGCCTGTGCCCCAGTTCTTGTATGCATAAATAAATAAATCTTTTAAAAAAATAAAAAAGCATCAAATGACCCAGTGTGCAAGTGTCTATCCAGTTCAAACCCCCCAATCCCCTTCAGCCCTCATGCCCGTGAAATTGACACTGGAGAAAAACCAGCACAGCCTGTGTAGGGTTGGCCAACTTTTCACCGAACATGGTGTTTTCGTCCAGACACATATGACACCAAGACCTAAAAGTCACCCACTATTTGGATTTTTTTCTTAAGAAGAAATACAGAGAGGGATAATTTATATTTCTTTGGGTTTATCGTAGGGCTAAAGCCTATCAGACTTTAAAGTGTTCTAGGTCGGAGTCCTGTGATGCCTTCCTCACATAACCCCCACCAGACTCCATTTCCTATTTCAAGCAAACAAAGTTTTTTTGGAACGGAACTGAAAGAGCCAGAGGCTCCTCCCGTTTTGCTTAATCCAGGCTGCTACAGTGCATCAATTTAGCATTAATTAGGGAATCCTAGAGAAGGCTGCCCCCTCATTGAAAGGTGTGGGTGGGTGGATGCCCATTCCAGATCCTCTTAAGCCTCTTTTCTAAAAACTGGGAATTTCTTCAAAGTTTCTAGTTACAACCTGTGGTACTCTCTTATCTTTCTAGGTGAAAAAAAAAAAATTAAGTGTACAGGGTGAAGATTTAAGGACATGCACATGTAATTAGCAATCTGATTCTCAGAGCAATCCAGTCTAGACTGAGGAATAGAAAATAGTTTACTTGCCTACATTTAAGAATCTAGTTTGAATCCTGACAGGTAAAATGGGTAAATTTCTAGGGACTATGTGGGTGTTTTGTTTTTAATCACTCTCTTTAAAGATGATCGTTTCTCTGGGGATGAAAATGCCAATATATATCCAAGTTCCTGTGGTGGCTACATTTAAAGAGAGCCCAGAGTTCAAAGTTAATGAGCAGAGTGAATTTATGCCAACACAAAGAGAGGCTAGACCGCACAACAGATAAAAGCTTACTAATATACAACCTTCATCCACATCATTAGCTTTAATATGGTAAGTGAAACTGTGCAGTTCCATTTCACATTTTATTTATCTACTAATTAGATTTAGCTGAGCTCTCCATAATCTGGTTCCTAAAATCAGCAATTAAAGTTGGTTTCTTTTCCAAGCACCAAAGGAAGGTTTCAAAGAAACCAGTAACACCCCTTTAAAAAAAAAAAAAATTAACACCGTCTAGGCTTTTTGGCAAATGGTCACTGGGGTGCTTTTAAGCAACTAATTCCAGAATGCTTCATTTCTGGAATAGCTCCCTCTTACCTGTTCCATGTCCTCCGGCATTTCAGGCATGGTTCCAAAATTCTCTGGGGAAAACAGATTTGTGGACTGGATCTCAGCTTCCGCCTGCTCCAGCCGGGTCTTTGTTCTGCCTGCGGAGAGTGCTGGCACGCAAAAAACGTGAGCTGCAGCTTCTGTCGACCTTTTAAATTAGCACTTTGATTCCAATCCCAGAATCTCGTGCAATTTGCCACATTGCAGTAACCTGGCAGCTGATTCCCCGTGCTGTCCTTGAAAATATCCAATGAGAAGTTTCATATTTAATAGCCCGCCAAGCGAGGGTTTATAGCTAAGGCATTAGGAGGCGAGCTCATTTAAAAAACAAAACAAAAACATGAGCAAACAAAAAATCCTTTCTGTGAAGACCTTACAAATTTGCTCTTGCAGAAAAGATAGAGCCAACGTTGGGAAAGCTCTGCAGACTGTGCAACGGATTCCGGTTCTGAAATATTTTGTTCAGTTATGACAACAGAATCGACTTAGTAAAGTTCTCCAGAGCTTCCTCCCCACCCACTCCCAGTCCGAATTAACTATTTAGAGGACCATAAAAGACACTGGTGGTAACAGAACACAAATTGAAACAGTCATTTTCATTAACATTGTGCTGTTGCCCCCTGAGAAAATGGTAGGTGGGGTAGCTTTAAGGCTGGCCACGAATTTAAGATTTCCAGGTCAGTGAGTCTCAGATCTGCTGGCTCTAAAAAACCAAAGCAAAAAAGGAAACCGAATCTGCCGGCACTACTGAATCTACAAAACAAAAGCACTCTATAGGAGAGGAACCCACGTAATTTTTTTTTTTTAAACACTGTCATGGATGATGGATATATTCAGTAAAATTCTGAACCGCTGTTCTGGATTATGTCTAACAATTTAAGAACAACAATAAAATTGCCATTCAAATAGAACTATAAAATAAATGTGTGTGTATATATATTTATATAAAATGCTCTACCCACTTAGCTCACATAGCAAGTGGTAAACTGCAGAGTTAGGCATGCAGTGCCTGTAAGGTATGAAGAACTAAACAATTTTTTTATATTGATAAATTAAAATTCATCAAAACTGAAAGCTTCTGCTCATCAAAATAAAATATTAAGAAAATGAATAAACAAAACTGACAGGGAGAAATAATAAAATAATCATCAGACATGTATCTGAGCACTATATTCAGAACATTTAAAGGACTTGCGTTTTCCTCTCCCACAGCATTGTCTACCTATATTTTATAGCACTTTTTGATGTATATGATTACCATTATTTGTACCTTATGACTGTCTCTGTCTACTCATCTATGTAAACTTTAGGGAAAAGTTCTTACTTTTCTCTCCCTCTCCCTCTTTTTTTTTGATTAACTTTTTATTACATCATTGTAGTCCCCAGAGTTCTCCAGCCACCATATCACCCTTGAACCATCACCATAGTCTCTTGTGCTCTTCCCCCTAGGGCAAAGTTTTTCACCTCTGTATCAGCTCCATACTCAGTTCACGGCAAAAAAAAAAAAAAAAAAAAGCGAATATTTCACAATTATTTTTTGAATATATATATATAAATTACTAGTTAAAATTATCAAAATGAATATAATACATTTTGATTTTCAAAAATTAGACTTTATTTGTTTTGATTGAAGTAACACTAGTTGACAGCAATGTATAGGTTTGAAGTGTACAATTTCGCACCTCAGCACATTTATGATACCCAGCCACCACAAAATGAAAAAAAAAGACTATTTTAAGCCATTCTTTTCAATAATGTGTGTAATCATTCTGTTGTTAAAGATGACTGAGTACCTTGGTAACTTCCAGTACCAAGGGTTGAAGACAGCACATTTTAAATGTGAAAAGAAATCATAATAGGAAAAGGCATTGGAGTAGATTCTGCTGATGATTGCTACTAGTGACATAAAAGTCTATAAAAGAACAATTAGTAAACATGCTTACTGCAGAAGATAAAAATATTGACCATTTGTAATATTCCTATACGTAAAGCTATTTCTTATGTTGTTCAGGCAAAAGAAAAAATGTATTCCAGGGCCTAAAATACTCTGTGGTTTACCTCTAGGCAACTTAAGATGTCACTCTGTGCTTTATATTTACCTTTACAATTCAGCCTTTCAAGGTGTAAATCCCAAGTTTCTCAGTATACTCACAGACTTGTGCAGCCATCATCACTGTCCAGTTAACATTGTCAAGTTCTTTGAAGCGTCACTGAAATTGTCAGGCTATCAGAATGGGGGAACAGACAATAGATTTGGACTCTGGTCTTGTAGAAAATCTGCTGCACCTCCCCCTGCAGTGACCCTCAGGGCTAATGGCTGTTGCCATGGTCCCTGAGGTCCTGCGTGGGCAAGGAACCAAGCGCGCAGGGGGAGAACAGCAAACTCCCTAAGATGCAGAGAAGCCGAATGCCTGCCAAGAGATAACGACCACCAGAAGCTGCCACAAAGATGATTAAAAGAAATGATGACCACCTGGAACCTTATCTCGCTTTCTCAAGGCCCATAAACTTTATTCTGCTACAACTGTCTCTCTAAAATCTTTCCTTTTTCTGGTCATTGATTGCTAATTAAAAAGCATACGTAATTTAATAATTAGGCTAATGCAAATAAAACATTACTAAACACTGTGTTATAATAGAATTGTAGTTTAATAATCTTTCTATTATGTGCTTAACTTTAGTACCTTTGATATTAACTGCATTATAATATAAATTTACCTATGACAATTAATTATGAGTAAACATAAGTAAGTAATAGTAGTAGTAGTTAGTACAAAAATATAGAAAGAGTTAATAACCTGTCCAATTAGGAATAAGACTAGGTCCAGATGTATTTTGGACATAAATCACTGCCCTGTCAATAATAAGCTAAACCTATGAACAAACTGATTTCTTTGATGTTCACTGTTCCTATGCCTTTAGAAAAAACATATATATACTGACCACTAACAAAAATAAAGTTACACTCAGATTTACACTCTCTCTTGAAGTGTGTCTGTTTGTCATTTCTTTAACCTAATCCCTGACCACCCTGCGCAGTCTCTCAACCCTGAGACGGCCTCATTGTCTACTGCTGTGCTGGTCCGCGGCAAAAATCCTTCCCAGGCTTCTTTTCACTGACCTCCCTCAGCAGAGGCCGCTCTCTTCAAGGCCACCCGCCAGCAACCATGCAGGCCTCTTTTAGCAAACGTGTCCCTTCTGGGGCAGCTCTTCCTGTCCACTTGTGTCTATACAAGTGTCCTTTACTTTCCTATCCCCTTTCCCTAATAAACCTGCCCTTTAAATATATTTTTAAAAAAAAGAAAAGAAAAAAAAAGAAAATCCTTCCCAGAACTTTTTTCTGTGAAGGAGTAAAATAAAACAGGGAAGCTGGAGGGTGACATAAGAGCCACAGAGGATTGTGAGCTTTGTTTTGTCATGTTTAGTTTTAGAGGGTACAGTACTAGACTATGTTTGTATGATCATGGGAATGGTCCATTAAGTAAAAGGAGGTGTTATGGGACCATTTGTGATCCCCGAAATGACATGTTTTATGAGTTTGTTAAATGTAGCATACCATACCCCTGTTACAGGGCAAGCACAATGTGGACTGGGTTGGCCTGACTGTGGGTCCTCATCCACTCGCTTCTAAGGGACTTATGAGACTCAAGTGCAGGCACACACAAACAGGTTAATAAAGGGTTTATTTACAAAAAGGGGAAATGAAGAAAGGAATAACTCAGGGAGAAAGAGAGAATGAGAAATTGGTGAATGAGTCCTACCAATTCTGCTGAGCTGGAATCCCAATAGCAAACTGAAGGCCTTTGAAAAATCCAAAGCCCACATGTCTGGTTATATACCAAACCTGGCTGCTTAACTTCACCCTCAGTTCCCAGCAATCCTCCCTTCTGTGGTGTTGTCTTATGGGATTTGTAGTACTTGGTGTCTTGGATCTCTTTGGTCTGAGGTGAGGGTGGGGTCCATAAAACCAATTTGTGGAGTTTGTTCAAGACATCCTTCCCCCACAACAACCTTACAAGGTTCCTTTCAAGTTAAACAAGAGCAGGACACTGGAGCATCCTGGAACAATGGGTAAACATCAGGAGGTATGACCAGCAATGCCTGGCAGGGAGGTGGGAGGGGAAGAGGGAGTTGTTGACTGATGTACTTTGGATCCCAGAGACTGATAAGTGGAACGCTTTGTTAATAAGATTGGAACCATGGGTGGGGGTCAGGATTATGATTTACCTGATCAGTAGACTCACCCTCCCTAAGCCCTAAATAACATAATCATATTTCCACTTTGACCCACCTTTTCCTCTTTGTTCTATCAATAAAAGCTCAGGAGCTTGCTTTTCAAGCAGCATCGTGCACTGTACAGCCTGCTCCACGACTCCCATGTTTTTTCTTCTTCAGTGTGGTGTTGCTAACACAACAATGTTCAAGGTTAACCCCCAGCACCTTAGAGTGTGCCCTTTACCAGGGTAGGGTAGTATAACTTCCTTAAAGGCAGGGATACTTGTGAAATCTCATGGCCCAGCCTGACGTCAATGTAGTGAGGTATATTCCTCCCCCTGGAATTACTGTATTTTGAAGAATAACTCTTTACAAGGAGTAAAGGCAGAAGATAGAAATACACATGCATTCAGGTTATCAAAATTAATAGAGTTAATTTGAGGAAGTCCCTGCCCCACTGCATCAATCTTCAGTTGAGTATGTGGTAATGCCAGCAGCTAAGGGTGTGGGGAAGGAAAAGATACAGGAGTCAGAATTTTAAGTAGGAGGGGAGGAGGGTCCCACATGGCTCGCAGACCTCTCCTGCTGCTCCCCTCAGCAGTGTACTTCGGTCCCTCTGCCTGCTCTGCTCCCCACTCTGGCTCTGGTGAATTCTCTCACCCTCCTGCGCTTCTGACTGTACCCAGTGCTTGTATAAATAAATAAATAAATAAATAAATAAATAAATAAATAAATAAAATCTTTTAAAAAAATTAAAAAAGTAAAAATAAGATCAGTCTTTTCTAGGATTTTAATTCTATTGTCACATTTCACAAGATTCACAATTCTGTAACATAATTTTGATTTAAATTTCTCTAGTCATTTCAAGAACATATTTCATAGCTTTTTAAAAAATTAATATATAATCAAATTTCATACATTTTGCTTTGTTCTTGTCCTCACCTTTGTAATTTTCTTCACATCTTTATTTTATCAATCTTCCTGGACCTCTCTGGTGGCCTAGGGGTTAAGTCAGCGTGATCACCTCTATGGCCTGAGTTCAATCCCTCACCAGGGAGCTAACTCACATATAGCGCAGCATACCTCTCCTGTCTCACCCACTGCTCCCCTTAGCCTGCTCCCCACGCTGTCTCTGGTGAATCTATTCACCGCCTCCATGCCTCTGGCCTACACCCCAGTTTTTCTGCACAAAAATGAAAAATAAATAAATAAACCCTCTTGCTTTTATTATTAAGATTTAATTTTTCTAGAGTGGCTTTAGGTTCACAGCAAAACTGAGAGGAAGAACAGAGATTTCTCATATGCCCTGTTCCTCAACACATATACAACCTGCCCCATCATCACATCGTCCATCAGTGTGGGATATTGGCACAATGAGCAAATCTACATCAGCACATTATAATCACTCAAAGTCCATAGTTTAGGGTTCACTCTTAGCAGTATATACTTTATGGATTTGGACAAAGGATTTTTCCATTATTATGGCATCATACACATTGTTTTCACTGCTCTAAAATTTCTTTGTGCTCTATATATTCATTCCATTTCACCTCCTAAGCCCTAGCAATTTTGCTTTTCCTGAATGTTCTATACTTGGAATCATACATTATATAGCCTTTTAAAATTGGCTTCTTTTACTTAGTTCTATATAGTTACATTTCTACCATGTCTTTTCACGGTTCGATAGATTGTCCCTTGTAGTACTGAGCAATACTCCATTGTCTTGATGGAACACTTATTCATTCACTCACTAAGGGACAAGACGGTTGCTTCCAAGATTTGGCAATGTATAAAGCTTCTATAAACATCTGTTTTGGGGTATTTTATGGACATTCCTATTTTTTTCCTTCATTTTTGTAGTATCATTACTGAGATTAAAAACTATGCCTCCACTCCTTGCCCAGCAACCAAGTTTGGGAGGCTTGAATAAATAAAGGGGGTGGATAGGACTGCCATGGAAACAGGGCTGTTAATCTGATGATCCAGATTACTAGCTATGACATACCCAAGGCTAGTCACCCTAACCTACCAATGATGCCTGATTCTCCTGGTTACCATTTAGTGGGTTGGCACATTTTTTTTTATCCTTTGCCTTTCGCAAGTAATCTCTGGCTTCTTATTTTGGAGGCTGTTTCCTGTGACCTAACAATCTTTACTTTCTTCCATTCATCTAAATCAATTTTACATGGGCAGTGGTAAAGATGATATTTAAATCCTTGAGTTAATGAGATCATCTTTGGAGAGAGTATAGATAAAGAACAAAGGAGAGTCCAGGTTCAAAACTGTATTCATTCCAACTATTGTTATGTCAGATACAGGAAGGTCCAGCAAAGAATGAGAAAGGAAGCAGTTAGGTGAAAGGAAACCAAATACATTTCATCAGCAGTCTGGAAAAGAGAGCGTTTCAAGAAAGAGGACACTGTAGGGGCCTCCCTGGTGGTGCAAGGGGTTAAGATGCAGCATTATGAAGCTATCTGTGGCAGCTGCGGCACTAGTTCGATCCCCAACTAGGGAATGGAGATCCATATAACCCACAAGGCACAGCAGAGCTCTCCTGTTTCGCCTGCTGCTCCCCTCAGCAGTATATTTCAGTGGATCTGCCTGTTCTGCTGCCACTCTGTCTCTGGTGAATCCTCTCACCCTCCACACCTCTAGCCTTTACCCCAGTTCTTGCATGCATAAATGAATAAATTAAAAAAAAAAAGAGGAAGGTATAAATTAGAGTAAGATGAAACTAGAAAAGTATCCATTGGGTTGGGAAAAAATAGAACTCACAGGAGGAATTGACAGGAGCCTTTGCAGAGGACTGGACAGAAACTATACCTTCATGGGTTAAAGTGAATGAGATATGGCAAAGGAGAAGGCACTACACTATGTACATTTTTCAGAGGTACTGTTAAATATCTCTAGCTTGGGCTTATTTGCTTCCGCAATTTTAAATTTATTTCTCTTTTTTTTTTTAAGATTTATTTATTTACACAAGAACTGGAATACAGGCCAGAGGCACAGGAGGGTAAGAGAATTCACCAGAGACTGAGCAGGGAGCAGAACAGGTAGACGGACCAAAAACACTGCTGAGGGGAGCAGCAGGCAAGACAGGAGAGGTCTGCAGTGCCTTGTGGGTATCTCCCTGGCTGGCCAGTGATCGAATCCACACTGCAGAGGCTGTGGACAGCTTCACAGCGCTGTGCTCAACCTGCTGCACCACCAGGGAGGCCCTATTTCTCTTTCTTTAGTCATTTCTGTCAACATGAGCTTTGCAGTACTTTGTCATTGCAAAAGATCCTGAAATCTTTGTGCTTTTTAATTTCTTTTTAAAAAAGATTTATTTATTTATGCATACAAGAACTGGGGTACAGGCCAGAAGTGGGGGGGTGAGAGGATCCGCCAGAGAGAGGGGGAACAGAACAGGCAGACTGACTGAAATACACTGCTGAGGGGAGCAGCGGGCGAGGCAGAAGAGGTCTGCCACACCATGTGGGTAGCTCCCTGGCTGGGGATTGAACTTGTGCTGCAGTTGCTGCCAATAGCTTCATAGGTTGCATCTTAACACCCTGTGCCAGCAGGGAGGCCCACTTTTTAATTTCCTATTGCGTTTCCTTAATTTTCTCTTTGTCAGATTGCGGCACACCGAGAGTCCAGAATTAGGATATAGAAACTCAAATATTCATTGTTTTCTTGATGTTAGGGTCAGTGAGGGTTAGGAAGTGAAAGGGGTTGGTAGAGGATTTATCCTTTCCCTTGATAAGCATTACTGTGACAAAGATGATGAGACAGGAGATGAAGTACCCTCTCTGTAGTCTCTAGGAAAGCTAGTGGACAAAATTTGATTTTGATTCACTCAGCTGACTAAAGGACTATTGAATGGGCTAGACATGGGGTCTCAACTAAACCCTTTATGAGAGTGGACGTTTCTATTTTTGCCTTTTTATTTGAACTGCATTTCTGTAGGTAGCATATGGTTAGTTCTTTTTAATCTAATACAATCATTACTGTAGTTTATTGGGGTATATAGACTACTTGCATTTTGTGTACTGTCAATACAGTTAAATTTAAATTAATCATATTGCTATTGCTATTTGATTTCTATTTGCCCCATCTCTTGTTTTTCTTTTCCTCTTTTCAATTTTTTTTTAATTAGTTGAATGTCCTTTATGATTTCATTTTATCTTCTTTATTAGGTAATTGACTACAAGTGATTTAATGCAGATTTAGGATTTACAGCATACATTATTGTCACAAGTCTATCTTCAAGTAACATTATGCCACTTCTTTTTAAAGATTTATTTATTTATGCATACAAGAACTGGGGTACAGGCCAGAGGTGTTAGGGGTGAGAGGATTCACCAGAGACAGAGTGGAGAACAGAACAGGCAGACTGACTGAAATCCACTGCTAAGGGGAGCAGCGGGCAAGATAGGTGAGGTCTACTGTGCCATGTGGGTTGCTCCCCGGCAGGGGATGGAACTCGTGCTACAGTGGCTGCGGATAGCTTCATAGATTGCATCTAAACCCTTTGTGCCACCAGGGAAGCCCCACTTTTCATATATTATAAGGAACTTACAGGCAGCTGCCTGTCTGCCTGTGACTATGCAGGAGTTTCTAAAGAGAAAAAAGTCGCCTATTATCCATGCACTTACATTTCTGGTGCTCTTCATTCTCTGGCGTAGGTTTTTATTTCTATTTGGCATCATTTTCTTCCTGCCTGAAGAACTTCTTTTAAGATTTCTCCAGAGTGTAGGTCTGCTGGTGATTCTTTTTCAGTCTTTTATGTCTGAAAATTATTTTTTCATTTTCCTTTTTCCAAACAACTTTGAATGACAGTTTTTCTTAATCACTGTTTTACAGCAATTTGATTGTGATATTTTATGTTTCCTGTTCTTAAGGCTCATTGATTTCCTTGGCTCTGTGGATGTTTTCATACTTGAAAATGTTTTCACTATTATTTCTTCAAATCATTTTTGTCTCCTCCTTGCCCCTTTTGGGAACTCCATTACATGTACATTAAAACTGCTTGACATTGGGCCTCCCCGGTGGCGCAGCGGTTGAGCACTGGGTTGCGAAGCTGCCCGCAGCCTCTGCAGCGCCGGTTTGATCCAGGGCTGCTCCCCGGCCACCGGAGGAGGGTCCCACATGGCGCGCAGACCTCTCCTGCCACCCGCTGCCCACTTCAGCAGTGTACTTCGGTCCTTCTGCCTGCTCTGCTCCCCGCTCTGGCTATGGTGAATTCTCTCACCCTCCCGTGCTTCTGACTGTACCCAGTGCTTGTATAAATAAAATAAATAAAAATAAATCTTTAAAAAAAAAAAAAACTGCTTGACATTGTCTCAGAGTTGTTCTGCCCAGTTTTTCGATCTTTTTCCTTATTTTATTTTGACTAATTCCTACTAATTGCTACTTTTTTTGTGAATTCTTTTTACTGAGGTAACATTAGTTTACAACAGATGGAATAGACATAACCACACTACACCCACCACATTCCACTGAGTCCCCTCTACTCCCATCCCTCCCCCTCTGGTAACCTGTTCTCCCACTGCTGCTTTCAAGTTCACTATACTTTCCTTCCACAATGTTTATCTACTATTACCCCCATCCAGTGTGCTTTGCCTGGCATGGATCTGCAAGTTTGACATGGATCTTATGTTTTTGCTAAGTTTTGGTATAAATGGAATACTGTTGTAACTGTTCTGATGTCTTCTGGTAATTCTACCCCATGTCAGTTCTGGGCTATTGTTACATGATGGGTGGTATTTTCCCATCTCTGTATGTCTGGTTGGATGTTCTAAACGTTGACATTTACCCTTTTGCTGGATATATTTACAATCCTATAAATTTGAGTTTCGCCCTGGCATGTAATTACGTTTCTTATAGTTTGATCTTTCTTTCTGGGTCTTTCTTTTAAGGTAGGGGGAACCAGGCCATGCTCACTTAAGGATGACTCATTCAACACTAAGGCTAAACCCTTCTTTATAGTCTACTCACTGCTCTGTATGTAAATCATGGTTTCCAGTTTGCCTCATGGAAAAAGGCAATATATTTAGCATTGTGCAAGTTTTGACACGTTCTTCTAACTTTTTGTAGAGGGTGGGTGGCTCTCTCCCAAGCTTCAGTTTCCTCAGTTTCACATACTAGTCAGAACTTCAGGAATACTTGAAGGACCCTTATTATGTCTCCAGAGTTCTTCCTCCCTGCAGTCTTAACTCTGCTTGTACTCTGTCCTGGAAGCTCTAGCCACTCTTATCTCCCTGGATCGCAGGCAGATGGGGGCTCTGCCTGAGTTCCCTTTGCCTGCAATGGTCTGGAAATTCAGTCAACATTGTAAACAGGGTGTAGACACACGCTCACCTTGATCTTTCCCTTCTCTCAGGGATTGTCTTTTGTTGTCTCATGTCTAGTGTCTTGAAGATCAATCTTTTGTATGTTTTGTCTAGTTTTTAGATAGCTTAGGAGGTGTGTGTGTGTGTGTGTGTGTGTGTGTGTGTAGGCTAGGGTGAGAGGAGCAATAAATTTAATCCCTGTTAGTTTATTTTGGCTAAAAGCCAAATGATGATTTTTCTGACTTTTACATTTCTTCTAAACTTATTGCACATAATGATATTTTAAAAACCAACCATGTATTAAGATCCAAGGGCTTAGCTTTAATAAAATACTTTATTAAGAAAAAGCTAGCTTAACTATAATAGTCTCTGTTGGGTGCATCAATGCAGAAACATTATAAGTGGCTTATAATATCATGACTGTGTAACTCAAATATTTCAGAAAGAGAATTACATTTTCTAAACAGCATTTAATTCAGATTTTAGGAGTCAGGTGGGATGGGGAGGGCAGAGACAATAAATATACCTTAAATAGAAGCATTACGGTAACTTCATATATTCAAGCTGAATATTGGATAAATGACCTGCTACGTGATTTTATTTCATATTACACAAATATTAACCAAACACAGAGGTCAGATAAAGGGCAAGCAGTATAAGAATAGTTCGCTAAAGAATTTATAAGCAGAGTTTCTCAGATTTTTAGTGTATGTAAGAATTAGCTGCAGAGTTTGTTGAAAATGCATTCTGAGTCAAACCCCAAATTTTAATTCAATAGACTGGGCTGGGGTCTAAGAATCACATTATCGACCTATTTACAGACTCTGAAAAGAGACACAGAGTTTACTATAAAGGCAAGTTTGTCTTTACGTCTAATTTGAGCTGGATGAATGGACAGTCAGCCAGCTAGTATTACTAGGAGAATCACAGGAGATACAAGACTGTTTTAGCCAAAGCCGAGGTGTTTTGGTCTTGTAAGAAGTTAAAATGAGAAAAGGTTTCTGGTATTTGAACATAAACCTGGGGACTCAAATCTTGAAGCCATCTAAGGCTTCAGAACAGAGGAATAGTCAGGAAAGTGATTTATAAAGGAACGTTGACTTCATGTGATGAGTTGTAAAGCTAGAAAGTCAGTTAAAAGGTTTAGCAAAAGGTGATAAAAGTGAGCATAAAGGAGGAGGTACTGATAAGAGCAAATAACATTTCAGAAGACACAGTAGTATAAACATTGAACTTCCTTTCACATACCTAGGATAGGCAGTTACTATTAAATACAACATCAAGGAATATATATCATAAACATAATGATAACACAACAACATCACAAATAATAAGAATAAAATCATCTTCAACAGGTTTTCCAGAGGCTTATTTTGCATGATTCTGGAAACTCCATGGGCACTCAGTAGCAGTTTGTATTCCCTAGAAGGATTAATAAAAAGGTATTAATATTCTAAAACAAACTTATCAGTCACTAGAAACTAAAAACAGGTGACTGCTATCTTCTGTAAGACAGTTTAACCTGTGCTTATATTCTGTAACATAGTTTTGCCTGTATTTCTTCTTTCATGATCTTGACAGGTTGTGACTTATTGCCAAAGATGCAAAGATCACAGTCAAGAAAATCTACATTTCTTTCTTTAGATATTTAGGTTAAACTGCTAATGGTAATTTAGCAGGAATAGTTTTGGATAGAGGGAAGGCAGGAACAAAGATCAGATAAGACTTCCAAGAAGACGTAGTTTGAACTGGACTTGATGACTGATGGGATCTGGATATACAGAAATGAGAGAGCAAGGGAGGATGAAAGAAAAGGCATTTTATGCAAAGATCTCAGTAAGAATTTCTTTTACATCAGAAAGTGTCCACAAATTCTCACAGTTCATTAAAATGGAGAACTTGTTAAATGCTTCAAAGCATATCCAAAGGAAAAGTGACACTCTGTACATTTATTCATTTCTTACCTTCTTTTAATGGGGTTTTGGGAGCAAAATTTTCTTTACTTTCATGATGAAAAGCTTTCGAAGGGTCAAAGCGTTTGATGCCCAGAACTTTATTCAATTCCTCCTGAAGCTTTGCCTCACTTTGTTTTTTTTTAGTGAGCTGACAGCGGAGTTTTGACATCTCCTATGTAAGAAAAATAAAGCTATTAAAAAACTCAAATGCTTAACTATATGAACATTGCTTGTCTTCATGGTATTTATTCACATCCAGGACTTTGATATTTTGCAAACTAAAATGGATATGTAAAGCTTATGAAGTCTTTGAATTACACTACTAATTTTCAATACCTTAATGAAGGAGCTGGAACACATGAAATATCTATCTGGTCAACACCCTAAAACAAACCTGTAATTCTCAGATGTATTTTTCTTTATATACTAATATTCCCCCAATATAAACATCCTTAATTTTACTTAAAAAGCAAATAAAAAAAATAGCCAGTTAGAATAATAAATACCCAATCCTATATCTTTAGTAAAACAAAGTGTTATTTTACAAACCGATTTGAGCTGGCTATTTTCATCTTTCAATTTCACAACATGCTTGATTTTTTGCTTTAGATTCTGATGACCCAATAATTTAGCATAGGAATCTCTTAGTTTATTAAGTTGTTCCTGAGCTTCACCATGCTCATTCAACAAAGCCTGTTTCTCTGCTTCAAATGCATCCAGTTGTAGCTGAAAGAGAGTTTTTTTGAGAGTTAAGACTTAAATCTTACTTGTATCATATAAGCTGTAAAGAACGCTAAAGTAAAAGAAAGTTGAAAAACAAACAAAATTAGATCGTGCTGAGATATTCTTGGGACTTCCCACAAATTCCTTTGTCTTTCATGTCAAAGATCATTAAAACAGAAAAAAGACAGCTTGTCAGTCTAACATATATCATCTGGATCACCACATTTTATGTGCCAAGATTAGAATTTGACTTTTTTGCTTTTAATAAGATCAGTGCATTAATATGAAAAATACTGAGACAGATAAAAGCATCTGAGACAAAATAGGCATCAAAAATTTACATTGATCCCTTACACAAAATTCACTCTCAGGAGTCTGCTATTAACTTTAAACCCTAAATTAGAAAGTTTTTTTTTTAAAGTTATAAAGGCTACATTAAAAAGTTGACAAACAGGGGCCTCCCTGGTGGCACAAGGGGTTAAGACACAGCGCTATGAAGCTATCCTCAGCCATTGCAGCAGGAGTTCTATCCCTGGCCAGGGAAGTGACCCACATGGCGCAGCAGACATCTCCTGACTTGCCCACTGCTCCCCTCAGCAGTGTATTTCAGTCAATCCACCTGTTCTGTTCCCCACTCTGTCTCTGGTGAATCCTCACACCCTCGCACCTCTGGCCTGTACCCCAGTTCTTGTATGCATAAATAAATAAATCTTTTTTAAAAAAGTTGACAAACAAAATTTAAATAAAATGTATAAGCCTTCTTTAATAAGATGTTAAATTAGCACACTGCAAATGCATAGCAAAAAGATTTTTCAGGAAAACTTAGTTATTGTATAGGGGAACAAAATGAATTCCTAGAAGAAACAGAAGTTTGGGCCTCCCTGGTGGTGCAGCAGATATAGCACAGCACTGTGAAGCTGTCCGCAGCCTCTGCAGTGCTAGTTCAATCTGCAGCCAGGGAGCTAACCCACAAGGTGCGGCAGACCTCTCCTGACTTGCCCGCTGCTCCCCTCAGCAGTGTACTTCAGGTACTCTGCCTGTTCTGTTCCCCTTTCTGTCTCTGGTGAATCCTCTCACCTCCCACACCTCTAGCCTGTACCCCAGTTCTTGTATGCATAAATAAATAAATCTTTAAGAAAAAGTACTTTCCTTTAAAAGGAAAGAAAGAAAAAAAAAAAAAGGAAACTGTTTAGTCCTAATTGACAAACCTGAAAAGGTTTTGTTTTATTATATAGCTCTTCATAAAGGAGACGCCACTTGTTCATTTCCTCAGTTAATTCTGCTATTGTGTTTTCTTTTCCGGTTTCTCTGTAAGAGAAAATCAAATTTAAAAAAACATTTATGTATTAGGGAAAAAAAAGTCTCGTGGCACTCAAGGTACTAAAGATTACCTTGCTTCTTCCTCTTCCTGTTGTTTCTTATAGGATTCACCTTGTTGTTTGAGTTGGTTCTGCAAATCAGTTATTTTTTCAAGAGAAGAAACGGTGATTTCTTTAATTTCTGCTTCTTTAAGTGCTGATTTGGTCTGCAGATCTAGAAGCATCCTTAGGTTTGAGAGAGGAGTTTACTATGTATTTCAGTCATTTAATGATCTTTTTTCTTTTCCTTATTTCTTTCTTCAGGATTATACTTTTTTAACTGAGTATATTCTGAATTTGCTATTTAAGATCACCAAAACGAAGCCCTGGCTCTATAATTCCATATATCCTTTTATAACTGGCTTTTAGTAACATTAAGCTCTCTTAGTAAGACTAAGGTCCTAGGTGTGGGCAGGCCTGATATTTCCTACCTACCTTGCATATTCTTGATTTGAGCTCTCAGTTGCCAACATCTGATGTTGTAAATCTTCTGCATTCCTCGTAGCCTTGGCCACTTTTTCCTCAAGTGATGAATTCTCCAGCTTAAGGTCTTCTATTTCACTAGCTGTTAATGTTTTATAGCTTAATAAAAGAAAAAAGTTAAAGTTTTCTTTGAATTACTGTATGCATGACAAGTACATAGCTGATTTTTTTTTTTAAGATTTATTTATTTATACAAGAACTGGGGTACAGGCCAGAGATGCAGGAGGGTGAGAGAATTCACCAGAGACAGAACGGGGAGCAGAACAGGCAGACGGACTGAAGACATTGCTGAGGGGAGCAGTGGGTGAGACAGGAGAAGTCTGCCACGCCATGTGGGTAGCTCCCTGGCTGGCTGGGAATCGAACCGGCGCTGCAGAGGCTGTGGATAGCTTCACAGTGCTGCACTCAACCTGCTGCGCCACCGGGGTAGGCCTTGATTACTTTATATTTTATATACTTTTAGGTAAAACAAACAAAATCTTATATTTATGCATATACACACAGGTAAGAATTCAATGTTTTGAGGTCAGTAAAAAAGAGCATACATGGCATATGCTGTTTATTCAAAGGAATAAAATCAAATGCCTAATATGTACAGCAAGTACGCATGGAGATGAAAAAAATCAACCATCAAATATGAAAATTAGTCTAAAACCAAGACATTACAAGTTCTGTACTACTGGTTACAGAGTTTACAGTATTGTGGGGAAGAGAGGAAATGCCTCGCCAGGTCTCCCAAAATGGAAAATATTTATAATTAAATTTGTGGTAAGTATTATGAAGGAGAGCCAGGGAGCACCTAAGCTGATAAAACAGAAAAGCCTATGTTTTTGTTAGTGATTTAGAAAAGGTCTTTCTAAGGCACTTAGAGTTAGGTGTTATCTAGGCAGAGATAAGTATTTTAGAGGGAAAAGAGGGATATGTGCTCAGAGGCAGGAAGGACACCATTCATTAAGGGATAACATTGGAGGCTAATGAATAAGAGCAGCAGAAGCCAAAGACATGAGGCCAGGCATCACTTTGGATTAACCTGGTGGAAAAAGTGGACATGTTAAAGATGTTAAGTGTGTAAATTATTCTGGAGCAATGAGGAGAATTTGTTGGGGAAGGGACTGGAATGCACAACTAGAAGACTGATGAGAAGACTATCAACCCAGCTGAGTGATAAAGGGGAGTTGGACTCAGGAATTGGCAACAGAAAGCTGTAAAATCTCTTGGAGGCAGGAATGAAAAATTTAAGAAATATATTGGATGTTGGGTGAAAGAGAGAGAACATGATCAAAGATGACCCTAAGATATATGGAATGAGAAGCAGGGAGGATGAACACATCGTCGACCAAGATAAAACAGAATGAGACTAGAGGTCGGAAGAGAAGGAAGACCAAGAGTTGTTTTGGACAGGTTTATATTAGATGACAGTGAGATACCTCCTTGGAGATGTCAGGTAGGGAGCGGAATACATAGGTACAGAGCAGAAATGAGGGAGCTGGCCTGAAGAAACACACTTTAATGTTATTAGCTGACTGATGAGGAGTAAAGTCAGGAATGGGTAAAAATTCCCCCAGTATACTATTTTTCAAAGTAGCAAGAAGGGAAATCCCTTTATAGAGTTCAAAACAGCACTACAAATGTTATAGATATGGATAATTTACAGGTATGCTGATATAAATTATAAATAAAGTACACACAGTTATTTGAAGTATGTATGATCTTTTGACATAGTTAATTACAGGCAAGAACAGATCTCAACAAAGGGGTAAATGGGTGCAAGGCAATTGCTTATCCATATGGAAAAGCAAAAATACATTTGACCCTTCCATCATCGTAGAGAAATCAGTTCTAGATAGCTCAAAAAAATGGAAAGTGACAGCTTGAACCTTTTAAAAGAAAAATAGGTGAATACTTTTATGTTCTTGAAACTCAAGGTGTTTAAACATTCCCCATATGTCCTAGAAACACTAGAGAAAAAATTGATAAAATCAAATATTCTATAGCGGTCCCCATGAACAAAGAACCTCTGGAGATGTAATTCAATCCCAGAAACATTCATATTGCAGCATAGAAAGAACCTTCCAGGAAGTGGCATACTATGATGACATTTTTTAAAGTTCAGAAAAATGCAAAATTATATAATATGGTATTTGCATATATACAGTTACAAAATGATCCACAGGAAAAAATGAGGACATTAATGCAGGTTTTGAGACAGCGTTATCTTTTGGGGGAAGGCTTGAAGATGGGCTGGCGAGGAACTTATATATAGATACCAACTGTTGGAAAATCTTTTGTCTTATTGGTTGTCTTTTATGGACTCATGCTTGTTGAATTTATCTTTATGATTTTGAAGTTTTGTATATGCTATATGTTTTTTGCATTTATTAAATATAAAGAAAAAGAGACTTCCCTGAAATGATCTAAAGTAAATATGAAAAATAAAAATGCTACTATTAACATACTCTTGATGTGAGGTGCAGAGCTGTTTGTTATATTATACTATCCTTTGCAATTTTTTTCCAGATGGCACAGGCAGTGAGGAAGTGGATATAGTAGCTAGACAATCTTCTACCAAGAGATCAGGTTATGGAGCGGAGCAGAATTTGGGGGTAATAAAGGTGTTGGGAGTGAGAGGTGCTGTTGAATAGCTGCAGAAGGAAGTGGGGAAGGGTCAAGGAATTTAAAAAAATGCAAAAAATTAAAGGCACATTAAAATGTTTTACTATCGACAGCAGACATTCTACTAGAAAGCTTGAAAATGATAGAAGACAAAGGATAAATGATGGGGTGAGGTCACTAGCAGTTAAAAACTGGGACAATTCATCTGTAAGAGGTGGGAAGACAAGATGAATATACTGTAGGTACATTTATAGGCTTGATGAAGGGGAGATAAAAGCCTTTGAAATCTTTCTAAGGAAAAGGATGACACCAGGTTTGAGAGTGCTGGAGGTCCAAAGTGTGAGAGTGCAGGAAGTCCAAAGAAAATTTCTCTCTGTACAAACGTTACCAGGTATCACTAAATGCCCATTTATAGTTATAGTTGGCATAAAGGATTTTAAACTAATGCCAATCATTCTGTCTGTGTGATTGTTTTTGCCACAGATTTCCCTCAATACCCCTCCCTATTCACATTTTATTTGAGAGTGTGGGCTCCCAGGAAAAATACCTCTCAAACTGAGCAGTAATATCACCAAGGTCTTGCATTGCACTCTTCAACTTCTCCTGCCAGGACAGCATGGCTTCAGTGTGCACAGAGTTATTTTTCTCCAGCTCAGCTTCTTTCCTAAAGAGAAAGGAACAACTAAAAGTTAAAATGCAAATCATTACCCCAAGGGGCCTCCCCAGGGCCTCCCTGGTGGCACAGTGGGTTGAGTGCAGCACTGTGAAGCTGTCTGCAGCCTCTGCAGCACAGGTTCGATTCCCAGCTGGCCAGGGCAATATCCACATAGCACGGCAGACCTCTCCTATCTAGCCTCTGGCCTGTACCTCAGTTCTTGTATAAATAAATAAAATCTTAAAAAAAAAAAATACAAACACACACACATACACAAAACAAATCATTACCCCAAGACATCAGTATTTTCCTTTAATTTTCCAGTATGAATCCTATGAAGATCTTCATTTTAGTAATAGCTATTAGACAGTTTAGGTCTAAATTGACAATCTACCTCTGGTAGCATGTTTACTTATGTACTAACTTATCTTCTGGCTTCATCTTTTCTGTCATTTAACATTGGTATTCATCCTAATTTATTTCATTCTAAATTTGTTTCTTGATACTTTATGTATTTATGTAGTTAATTTGTGCGTGTGTGTGTGTGTGTGTGTGTGTGTGTGTGTATAAGAATGTGTGGAAGATTCAAACACAATCTTAGCAGCAGAAAAGAATAAAAAATGTCAGATTACTGGTTAAAAAGACTGAATAAAGTTTGTCTGCATTTAGACATTTAAGAAATATTAAGTTCATTTAAAGATACTACATTTTAAAACTTCTTTTGAAAAAGTTATGAACATACAGATTTGTTCTGATTCTATCAATAGCCTATATAGTAAATTTCTACTCAAAGATTCAAGAATTCATTCACTGGATTATTTTATATAAGCACAATAGTTTTAAAATCATCTTTATAAATATATATTAAAAATTTCAGGGATTTTTGTGAAATATCACTATTATATATTAACAAAATGGTGATTAAATATTTTAGATAAGCATGAGCTTTTAAGAGGTCTTCAAAAGAACATATACAGTACTAAAACTACAAATAAGCAGTATTATTCACCAAAGTTGAACATAGAGACAAGATAAACAGACCTGATCAAATTCATTCTGTAATGAGTATGGGATTTCAAAAAATATATACAACACAGGTAAAACCAATCAAGCATTAGTAAATGGTGTATATAAAAATGTTCTCTTCCCTGCCCCTGGAGGAATTATTTTCAACTCTGTTTTTCTCATAAGCCTGTAATTTCTAGTCTGGAAAGAACTTTCGAGAAGAGCTCATAAAACTCTTTTATATCTTATGAAGTAGAAATCTAAAGAAATGAAGATTGCTTTGCTCAGAATCACACACAGAGAAAAAAGCAGATTCAGTAATAAAATCCTTATCTCCTGAACTGGACAGGGTTTGTTGAGTATAATAAAGGATTGTCTCAGCTTTCTTAGATCAATCACTCAGTTGTTTTAAAGAGCCTGTTCTTTGAGACTGGCTACAGTGTAGAATAATACCCCTAATTATACTTTGGTACTGTTCCCAGAACAAACTGGCATATGTAAAATTTTGGTGTTCTTTTTTTAAATCTCTCATCACAAGAAAACAGAAAAAGAATTTATGACAAAAATATCCAACCAGTAACACAGTTTAGAAACATTGCAATTATGTAGGTTCATGTCTAGACCATGGTTCCTTGCTAGAAATTTTTTGCGTTTTTGATAACTACCTCCCAAGTACTTGTGCTCTCTCATAAAAATAATACTATGTACATAGAAGCAAAAAATGGAAGGTTTCAGGGCCTCCCTGGTAGCGCAAGGGGTTAAGACGCAACCTATGAAGCTATTTGCAGCCACTGCAGCATGAGTTCGATCCCTGGACAGGGAGCTACCCTCATGGTGCAGCAGACCTCTCCTGACTTGCCCGCTGTTCTCCCTCAGCAGTGTATTTCAGTCAATCTGCCTGTTCTGTTCCTACTCTGTCTCTGGTGAATCCACTCACCCCTCATACCTCTGGCCTGTACTTCAGTTCTTGTATGCATAAATAAATCTTAAAAAATATATAAATGGGGCTTCCCCGGGGCTCAGCAGGTTTTAGTGCAGGGCTGTGGAGCTGTCTGCAGCCTCTGCAGGACGGGCTCAATTTCCAGCCAGCCAGGGAGATACCCACATGGCACGGTAGCCCTCTCCTGTTTCACCTACTGCTCCCCTCAGCAGCAGTGTTTTTGGTCTGTTTGCCTATCCTGCTCCCTGCTCTGTCTCTTGTGAATTCTCTCACCCTCCCGTGCCTCTGGCCTGTACCCCAGTTCTTGTATAAATAAAGGGTAAATCTTTTTTGCTAGACCCATTTTTTCTGTAATACTAATGTCCAATAATTTTTAGAAAACCTAAGAGTAAAGGAATACAAACTTTTGGTCATTTTTTCATTAAAATAATCTTTAATTTAAACTCTGGCTTTCACCAGAAAGAAAAAGAAAAATATCGGATGGTCTCACTCATAGCAGGAATCTAGAAAACTTAAATAAGGGACCAGGAAAATGAATAACTATAAGAAAGTGAAAATCAAAACCAACTAAAAACTATGAACCAGACACTCTATAGGGAGTGGGGGGTGGGGAGGGGAGGGATTGGGGTCAAAATAAGGGGGTTGCAATGGTATGGGGAATATAAAAAATAAATTTATTTAAAAAAAAATAAACTCTGGCTTTCAAATATTCAATGGCATACAATGGCATAGCTTCTGACTTTGGGTATCATACTTGTCTGTATGTATATCCTACCTCCCTGTGTGTCCCCTACTTATAATTCCATCCTTGCTCATTTGCATAGAATGAGAGCTGATGATAGAATATTAAGAGAATGTACTAGAAAACACTTTAATTTCTGAAGTCCTAAGTAAACCTCAGGTCCTATTAACACATACCCTTTCAGCTTTTCTTCTAGAAGTTTTAATTCTTCAGCTCTAGCTTGTGTCTCCTCTTCCAACTGCTTGACCAGTTTTTCAGCTTGTTCCTCCTTTTGCTGCAATTTATCAAGTTCATCTAGTGCTTGCTTTAATTCTTCTTCAAATAAACTCCTTTCTTTAGTCATTTCCTCTTGAAAAGTATATAGCTTCTGCTGGAGACTAGAGGACAATTCCTGCAGCCAAAGAGAAATCCATCAAATAGTGTGTAATGATACCGTGAGGTTTTACTGGGAGCAAAAGAGCAGCGTAGGAAAACAAAGTGTGAAAACTAAGTTCCAGAACATCAAGGAAATTTGAAAAATATAGAAATACCATATTTATTTCATTTTGTCATGAGTAATATCCTATACCTGGTAACACTGTGATGTTATTTCACTCTTATTTCATTGCAACACACACACACACACACACACACACACACACACACACTTCTTATAAAACTAAAACCCTATCTTACAACTGGCTTTTATCGTATACTTGTCTTGTGATATTATATAAAAGTATCTGATTTTAGTTATATAAAATAACTATAACTCTATAATACAAAAATAAATTACCATGTGAAAAATGCCAATGTTCCAAATAAAGTGAAAATTGCCTTTTGACTGCTCCTTAGACAAATCTAAGTTTGCTCATTCTAGAGAAAATCACTGATTTGGTATGCCATCTGTTCTTTTCCTGTGTATTTATGTGTGTTTTAAAAAAATGATATAGGGCCTGCCTGATGGTGTAGGGGTTAAGACACAGCCTATGAAGCTATCCGCAGCCACTGCAGCATAAGTTTGATCCCTGGCCAGGGAGCTACTCACATGGCGCAGCAGACCTCTCCTGTCTTGCCCGCTGCTCCCCTCAGCAGAGTATATTAGTCAATCCACCTGTTCTTCCCCACTATGTCTCTGGTGAGTCCTCTCCTCTCACCCTAACCCCTCTGGCCTGTACCCTAGTTCTTATATGCATAAATAAATAAATCCTTTAAAAAAATGATATATGTATGAAAAGGATATTTAAAAAACAAAGATAATGGTTGAGATCTTCAAGTCATTGTAGTCAGAGCTACTGGTTTCCTGGAATTACTGCAGGAGCCCAAGCACATATTTCCATCAGAGCATGTGAGTACCTATTTGCTCAACTCTCAGCATTGTGTTATTTTATAAAAAGTTTTAATTTGTGCCAATCTCATAAGTGAAAAAAAAAATTATTTCCATTTCCCAGACTCCTTCTGAGTAGAACATCTGGATTTCTGCTTCTGAGGATGATATATTTCCATCCTATGCCCATTTTTTTTATAGGACTATTTTTCCTCATTAATATGCAATGTGGATTGAAAATAATTGTCATTTTTGTTTCTCAGGGAATTAGATGTTCTTATATAGTGATCAAAAACAAGAACCTTGGTGGACATTTTTAACAATGATTTTCTAAAGTGCTCCATCTGTTGTTTATAATATTTCCATAGTGTCAATACTATGGTGAACATAATATCTCTGTGACTATTGCCTCAGGATAAGATTCTGAAAATAGAATGGCTGGATCGAAGGAGATATACAAATGAAATTTTTTTTTTTTGATACACAGGAAACTCTATGGCAAAAAAAAATGATAATTTTCAAAAACTTTGCAGTCAACTACCTTCTCTTGTTGTAGAAGTGATTCCATTTGTGACTCTTTTTGTTGTAGCTTTTCATGCTCTTGTTTTTCAAGAATAAGCTTCTCTTTTAAGTCTTGCATTTCAGAATTTAGATTTTCCTGCCGTTGTCTATCCCTGTTGATAAGGTCTGCTATAAAAAGGAAAACATTAGAATTGCTGTAATTCAATAGTAACATTAATTTTCAGAAACCCATCATATTGCTGCTGGTATGGTACACCCGATTGGTATTTCCAAAGGGGAACACATGACTGAAGTTTGGAGCAGTACTATAAGTAACAGCATATGTATTGTATGCTGTATAATGAAATACACATAATAAATAAAATATGTAGCCACCAATTTTAAATTGCCACCCAGTAGGGAAGTAAAGAATGATACAACTAATGTATTTCAATCAAGACCATAATATTTTGAAATAGAGAGTAAATTCATGCAATTTGCAGTAACATGGATGGAGCTGGAAGAGCGCATGCTCAGTGAAATAAGCAAGAAAGAAAAAGGGGATTATAACCAAAATGAAAATGCATATATTGTGTAAAAAAGAAAAATGACATAAGAATTATATAAAACAGGGCCTCCCCAGTGGCGCAGTAGTTGAGCGCCGCACTGCGAAGCTGTCTGCAACCTCTGCAGCACTGGTTCGATTCCCCACCGGCCAGGGAGCAGGCCACATGGCTTGGCAGACCTCTCCTGCCTCGCCCGCTGCTCCCCTCAGCAGTGTCTTTGGTCCGTCTGCCTGTTCTGCTCCCTGCTCTGGCTCTAGTGAATTCTCTCACCACCCCTGCGCTTCTGATCTGTACCCCAGTTCTTCTATAAAAGAAATAAATAAATAAATCTTTTAAAAAAAAAAGAATTATATAAAATAAAATATATTAAACATAAAAAAAGAAATAGAGAGTAAATAATATAGAAGATAAAATTTGTCATTAATTGAACCAAATTTTTTATTGTTGTTTACATAATTTCAAAAACTTGTTTTGACATAGCAGTCATTTTCTTAAAATATGAGACATAGTTCAATACTTACCTAAAGAAACTAAAAGTGTAAATACTAAATTACCTTTTTCTTCTTCCAGCAGCTGACATTTAGCATTCAGATCTTCTGCTTGTTTAGACAACATAATACTTTCCTCAAGGGCCCGCTTCAGGCTTAAAACTTCATGATTCTTTTCCTTCAAATTTTCTTCTAACTGGGCAATATTTAGTTTGTATTTTTCCACTTGATCTGATGCACAACTGTATTAAAACAAATTATTTTGAAGAGGGAAGATAGATTGAAGACAGATTCCCTATTTAAGAATAGGGAAGACAGATTGAAAAAGGATGAAAATGGTGATTTATGACTATTCAACATAATAAGGCCTGGTTTAAAACTACTGTTCATATTACCTGATTTCCTTAATGTATTCTAAGAGCTTTTCTGTTTCACAATTTTCATCAATCTTTTCTTTCTCTATTGAAGCACTAAAAAAAAAAAAAAAAAGCACACATGAGCACATGCAATAATCATGCTTACTCTGTACTAGAGATTGCAGACTCCAGAGGCCAAACTCCTAACTATTGTTTTAGATCACCCCGCAAGCTGACAATTTCGTAAATGCACATTGTACATTCAAGTTTTTTTTTTTTTAAATGAGAACGTTTTCCAAATATATTCAGAAAAAAGAGCTATGATGATAAGAATCATCATCTACAACATCCCAAGTGTTAGAAAATACTTTGTAGCTTTTTGGGTTTTCTCACCCACCACATGAGCATATTTTGGGTACCATAATTCTTTGTTCCAGGCTGCCTTATATTCAATTTCTCAAGTGTACACTCCTCCAAATAACTGAATTAAAGAAATAAGCATGAAGCTTATTAAAACAGGCATCTTACAAAATATGTCTGAACTGTCAACAAACACATAAATAGATGCTTGACATGAAGAACATCAAATTATAATCCCAACTGAGATACCTGTCTATTGGATGAAATCAAATAGACCCACATTATCAAAAGCTGATGAGGATATGGACCAAAATAAATGTCATAACTGCTAATGGGAGTGTAGACCAGTCCAAGCATTCTGCCTTTTTGAAAACCTTAAACATACACTAGTCCATGCCTTGGGACTTCCACTGCTAGGTATTTACTTAAGAAAAACAAAAACACACATTCCCAAAAAGACATACATAGCAGTCTGATTCATACTAGTCAGAAACTGGAAACTCAAATGTTGATCAACAGTAGAAAGGAAAACAATTAGAGGCGTAGTCATATAATGGGAGTATGCTCAGAAATCAAGGGAACAAGTTATCATACAACAGAGTGGATGAATCTCAAAAATGCATTAATGAAGTCACCTGTGCATACATGGTATGATAAATATCCAGCAGAGGTAAAACTAGTTTATGATGATGGGAGTCAGAGAGAGATTTCCAGGGATGGGGGCACTACCCGGGAAGGGGCAGGGGAGCAGGAAGGTACATGACTGAACATTCTGAGGGGTGACAATAGTCTCTCTCATGTTTGGTGGTAGTTACACAGGTGTATACGTACAATTGCCAAAGGTCATCACAATGAATACTTAGATCTGTGTATGTAAATTACAGTTCTATAATTAAAGACTAGGCTTGTGCATTAGGCACAGCTCCCTATACCTATATTTCTCTTGGTTTGCCTTAAGACCTCTGTAAGGCAATGCCATTAGAAAGATTATGTACATTATTTTAGTATAAAGTATTTGGGAATAATCAGGGCAGAAAGAGGGAAGAAAAGCAGAATTAAGGAAAGGTTAAAGTCTCAGGAAAAAATACTAGTAGAGGGAAGTAAATCAAGAATTATTTCTCCTTTCATCACTTACAGTTTCCCTTCAAGTTGTACAATTTTCCCCTGAGACTCTTCGAGATTCTTCTGGGTGACCTGCAGCTTCACTTCCATGCCTTCCTGTTTCGCCATCATACTCTACGGAACAGAAATGCCTGTTTTAGGAAATGAGGCGTTGTACAGTACCCAGGCCCAGACCCAGCACACTTATTGAAGAAGTACTCACCCTCATCTTTGTTTCTCTTTTGTTTCGAAGTTTCATCAACTCTAGGCTTAAGATGTTCATGTTCTTCTTACCATTTTCAGAAAACTGAGGACAAAAATAGAAGATAAAAATTTCCGAAATACTCTCTGCCAAGTCATATTAAATATTAAATATTCTACATTGATTGGTGCTATTATCTGCCTCCACTGTACTCTCTGGTGTGATTACTGATTGTGCAATCCTACTATTGTTGTTCTTTTTTTTCCTTAATGTGACTTTCTGGTGTATTTTTGAAAGTAACTTGGTCATGTCCTTCTATCTGCTGGAAAATATATTGCAAAGCTCTAAAACAAGCTTCTTGGAGAGATTTCTTTTAATTCTTATGCATCTTCACTCCATTTGTAAGCAAAAAGCCTAGCACAGGGCAGGCCCTGAATAAATATCTCTGATTAAACTGATCAGTGACCAAGAGTCTCCTTCTGCTCTGTAAACGGATGACCCTGTAAAAAGCACCATGCTAAATCCTTCAAGATCTATTAACATATTAGTAACGATACACACAATTTATTTATTGAACACATTTGGTCTATAAACTTACTCACTTCCCACTTCATTCCAAAACATATAAGAAGGAAGCCTGCTGATATTCTATTACTTATTTCACAGAAAGATTGTTTTAAACAAATTTTAGATGTAAATTCTATAACTTTTATTAATGGTGTTTATTGGGGTGACTTTGAAGAAGGATGAAGAAATATCAGACATGAAAATGAAAAATTAACGTGTTTGCTTGTAATCATATCTTATATGTCAAGAACTATCATAAAAAAGATACAATGATAATTCCTATTGGAAGCAACTCGATGTTTCAGGTATATTTAGTGAAGAAAAATGGATAAAAACTAGACCCTAATATTCTCAGAATACTATATCAGAAAAACATGTTCTCTATTTATTTCAATGTGTCATCATGAGACTCAGATACCTTATTTTTTAATAGTTCATTGGACTTAGCTAAGTCCATCAGCTGTTTTTCCAGGGAAGCATTAGTTGCAGCCAGAGATGTTTTCTCCCTGACTGCAGCATTTAGTTTTGCTTCCACCTTCTCCAACTCAGCTTCCAGATCGTGGATCTGCTTGTCCCGGACACCACGTTCCTGCATAAGAACACGAATCTGGATGGAAACAAAGTGATCATGGTTCACTGACACAATGCCAGGGTAAGGAGATGCTGCAAACCAACCATCAGAGCTTCTGGAAAACTGATTTTGATGTGATGTTCACTGATCCTTCAAGTTCACAAGCTATTTGAACACTCATATTTACTGTATAATACATGATAAAAATCTGTGTCACATTTTAAGAACAGAGGATTTTAATTTCCATAAATTTCCAGGTGGAATTAAATTGTTTATTTACTTTTATAGTGTTCCTACCTAGAAGAATCCTTTGCTTTGGTTCTAATTTTATGAATTTAAATTATGGTTTGAAATGCTAAATGTCTCTTCTATTTCAAGAAAGCAGAGTTGGACTTCTGGATAGGATATAGTAGGCCCTATCAACCATCAGTTCTGCTGTGCTGACTGACAAAACCAAGACCACATATTTATCAACAGAAAATGGGAAGCCAGAAGACAATGAAACAACACCTTTAAAATCTGAGTATGTGTATGTGGGAGGTGGGAGGGATTGGGAATCTGCCAATATAAAAATCTACTATAAATGAAAAAAATCATATATATATGAAGGTGAAATCAAGGCGTTTTCAGAGAACACAAAACAAAAAAAACAAAAGTTAAGACTGTTTGTCAACATTAGACCTACACATCAAGAAAAACTTAAGGTTATTCACCAGACAGAAGGAAAATGATCACAGATGTTTACAAAATAAATACTTTAAATATCCGGACATAGATCAATTGACAATAAAAGAATTGTAAATGACTAACTATGTAAAGATTAACCAAAGCAAAGTATGGCCATGTCAATGTCATATAAAGTAGACTTTAAAGCAAAAGGTATTATTAGTGATAGAAAAGGAGTTTTAAAATAAAAAGATCATTTGAAGAGGAAGATAATCTTAAATTTGTTGTGCACCTAATGACATGTCTTCAAAGAAATATACGAAGCAAAACTGACAGAACTAAGGAGAAAGAAGACTAACCTGTAGAGCTGAAAATTTAGAAGTACCTCTCTCAGTAACTAACAGAATAAGCAGACAAAAATATCAATATAGATAAAGATCTGAAGAAAACTATTCACCAATGTGAACCGACTGACATATCTAAGTCGCTGTTCCCAACATGAGAATATATACAGAACACCTACCAAAACAAACTACTTGGTGTATATAAAGCAAGTATGAGAAAATACACTGAAAACACATGAAAAGTATTTTCTACTTTTCTTAATGGGTTTGTGTTCATACTAATCTCAGTATTTTAAGCTTACTGAAAATGGATCAAGCACCACTTAAATATAAGGTTGTGACCTAGATGTTAGCGACTAAAAGCTTTAAGATTCCTTAATAGAAAATTCTCTATGCTTATACTATTGGTGTATAACCAATATCTATAGCATGGAATTCCAGAGTTAAAAAAAACAAAAAGACCAAGATTGTCTACATTATATATTTTTGCAGTCAAAGGAGGTCAAGCTTCTTTGTAAATTCAAACACCTATTTGGCCAAGCAGATAAGATTAAGAAAATTCAAGCCATGTAAGGGCTAAAGAGCAAATACTGGTCTGACTGGGGAAACTCTGGGGAGTCATGTGGAAAAGGGGGTCAGAAACTTGATTTATTTCGCATGTAATTTTACTTTTAAATGTTGACATCTACTCAAATTCAACAAACAACAAATAGCGTGGGGGTGAAAAGCTTTATTTGTCAAAAACCTCTAGCCTAACAGATTCAAGTAACTGACAAAACGACCAGTTCGAATCCAGGCATTGCCACTTAGCAGCTATCTCACCAAGACAAAGCTACTACAGCTCTAACTATTAACTCTTACATCACAGGCAAAAATCCTCAAAAAAAAAAAAAAAAAGTCCCGTATTTTTAATATAAATACAAGGATCAGAGCAACCAAGACAGAGATCTGCAAAAGTATCTCAACATATTCTTGGTCCCAACAATTAACATTTAACCATGCTTAATGGAAAATTTTAATTTGAATATCAAAAGAACATGTCCTAGGCCTCCCAGGTGGCGCAGTGATTGAGCGCTGGGTTGCGAAGCTGCCTGCAGCCTCTGCAGCGCCAGTTCGATCCCTGGCCACAGGTGAGGGTCCCAAATGGCACGCAGACCTCGCCTGTTGCTGGCTGCTCCCCTCAGCAGTGTATTTCGTCAGTCTGTCTGTTCTGCTCTCTGCTCTGGCTCTGGTGAATTCTCTTACCCTCCCGTGCTTCTGACTGTACCCAGTGCTTGTATAAATAAATAAATAAATCTTTTAAAAAAGAGAACATGTCCATTAGAAAAACAGCTGTTTAGCAAAAGAAACATGGGAAAAAAGAGACTGCAGGAAAAGCAAAGCAGGCCACGACCAGCTTAGGCCTGCCTAGGGAATCAAATGGGTTCTTTAGATCAGTTCTGCTTGATGGACATATCAGACATGTTGGAAAGCACTGTCTGTGATGATAGCTACTCGCCCCTCATGGTTATTGAGTGCTTGAACTGTGACTAGTGTAACTGGAAAACTGAGTTCTTTAATAACCACATGTGGTAAGGTGAGTAGCTACCACACTGGACAACCCAACACTGGTCATTTCATCTGGAGGAAGGCAAACATCTATGGTGAAAAGGAATGCATCTAATGAGAATAACTACATCACATTCCAACAAATCTACCATGATCTCGTGCTTTACAAGCAATCCTCCAGCTAGTCACTGTCCTAACATATAGATTCAGATATAGGGAGTGTGGATAAATGTAAATATTTGATTCACACTTTGTTGTAACATACTATTTTTTTGTCACCAGTTTTTCAAGAAGTGGGTTATCTTGAATCTGTCCCTTAGTATGTGACATACTTGACTGTGCAGCGCACCACACTGACAGGCCAGGCTCTGAAACATGCATCCAAGCTAAAGGACAGTTACCCTGTCGGCACTGGTCTGGATAACTTATTTGCCTCCCTACATGACTCCTCAAACTGAGACAGAGGCCCTGGCTCTTGATTCTAAGTAATTCTTACCATTATGAAACACATTCATTTTCCAATAAATTGAAAGTATTTCTTACCTCCTTTTCCAAACTCTTCAAATCTTTATCATTCTTTTGAGATTTCTTCTATTTAAAAGTCAAAGAACAAGGGTAAACAAATTTAAGTGCCACAGATACAATAGTCAAATTTGATTTTTAGCTTTCAGGAAATTGTTCCAGTTTTCTATTTTAAATATTTCACTGAGTTTATTAAACATTTTGTAAGTGATTTATCTGGTAAATGTAGGAAAAGTTTCTTTAAATCTCAAAATACTTAAAATTTAAAAGGCTCTATCCCAACAGAGGAGTTTTTTTGTTTTTATTTTAACTTTAAACAAATCTAGTTTTATTTTAACTTTAAACAAATCTAGTGGGAGGAGCAGGGGCAGGTGGAACTTCAGAATAAAACTATCTCCTTTCTCGCATCAAACAGCAATATATTGAATATTTTATTATTCCATCTCAGGAAGAAAAGAATCTTAAAAAGAGAAACTTATTCAACATCTAAAGAAGAAAACACAGATGAAAGAAAGAAAGGAAAAACTAAAAAAGTACAACTACTGCTTTTAATTCATTCATTGTGCTTATTTTAAATAGGACATACTTTTCCTGGAAAAAAAAAAAAAAAAAAACTTCTTATACAGTTCTTTGGCTGGAATTCCCCCAGACCTTTGTGGACTCCCTCAGATTGAAGTGACATTTGACACTGATGCCAAAGATAAGGGTACAGATTGTGATTCAGTCTTCTGGTGGGTTAAGCAAAGATGATATGGAAAATAGGTTAAAAATGCAGAGAAATATGCTGAAGAAGACCAGCGAAGGAAGTAACACATTGAGGCATTTAATATGGCTGAAGGAATCATTAATGACACAGAAATTAAGATTGAAGAATTCAAGGACCAAGTGCCTGCAGATGAGTGCAACAAGCTAAAAAAAGAGATTTCTAAAATAAGAGCACTCCTGGCTTGAAAAGATAGCAAAACAGGAGAAAATATAAAGCAGGAAGCATCTTCCCTTCAGCAAGCTCCATGGAAGGTCTTCAGAATGGCACACAAAAGCATGGTATCTGAGCAAGAAGGCTGTGGAAGTCTGGGCACTGGGGAACAAAAAGAAGATCAAAAGGAGAAGCAATAATAGCTGCAAACTTTGGAGATAAAAGGACAACATATAAGATGCTTTTGATTGGAGGGATTTCCTGAGCAGAGATAGGCAGATGTCAGTTTTCTCCTGTGTTTTCCCGGTATTCTATATGTAATTTCCCTAATATGCAAATTTAGCGGCCACTATTAATGATCATTTAATCAGTGATAATCCCAACTAATGATCCGTCCCTAGCCTGTAGTTATTTTTCAGCTGCATGTAAAAGGGAAGGTGATTTACTGATCATTATAAAAACTTACCATGGTTGGGGGGTCAGTAGGGGAAAGGCACACTTTTCACACTATATGTTTTTATATCCAACAATCTTTCTGAAACAGTGGCCAAAAACAGTATATTTTCTATCTGCATAAATATCCCCAGTGAAATCTATATATATGTTGGGATGGTCATACCAGTCTAATGCTTATTAATTTCCTGCCTGACAGCATTTTCTCTCAAGGGAGGTCTATTATTTTGGGGTTCTATACAAACTTATATAACTTAGTTACCCAAGAGGATTTATAAATTCTATAATTAAAATTTCAGATATTTCTCCAAAAAATCAAGCTAAAAAATTTACATCAATTTCTAAGAGCATTTACACTAGTGCTTCCCACCAAAACACAATTTTATTAATATATTAACTATAATTAACATAACACTTAATATAATACTAATTAATTAGTAGAAAAAGAACTGTTTTATATTTTTGTTCTGGTCTTCAAAATTTTCAGTGTATTTTACACTTATAGCACATTGCAATTCAGATGCTAAGTTTTTGTCAGAAATATTTATCTACATGTAGATTTCACAAAACATAGATTTACATAAAAAGCAGATTCACATACCCAACAAGTAGTTCTTCAGTGTCAAGTGTTCAATATTTTAGAATAAGAGCTTTAGGTTATTGCCAAATGAATAAATAAATCTAACTTTAATCTTTAGCTTTGGTTTCCCAACTCTGAATATTCTTCACATTAAAATATAAATTTCTGCAACCACTTATGAAAGTACAAGTTGCTTTGGTGACCTAATAAAAACACTAATAGTCAGCTCCTGCACAAGCCATAACATAAAGATACTACGTATTTAACCTTCCACTACTTCTTGGCAGTTTCTGAGTAGCGAACTTCTTTTAGGCATTAAAATGATCATTTCCTTTTTCTTCATCAATACTTTCCTCCCGCACAAACAAATGTACAAGAAGAAAGCAACTCAAACAATGACAACTAACAAACCAAAGCCTCACACAATTTTAAAGGTCATAATAGGTATTATGAAATTTATCCACACATAGCAAAGCATGAGAAATAGAGACAATTTTGTAATTCTGACCAATATTTAACAACATATTTAGTAATGTCAGAGGTAGAAATGTCAAGCTTGCAAGAGTCCTAGTGATAATCTATCACTAATTTACAGATTTACTTACAACCTTCATTTGTGGATGCCACTGATTCTAGTCAAATAGAATACCTTGCTGAAATGTTTTTGATGAGACAGTAGATAAGCCAGCAAGGCTTTAAAAGTTCCTCACCTTTGATCCCAAAGTCTTAACTTTTCTTGCTGAAGCAAGTTGAATAGTATCTTTGTCAATATTAAGGCTTTGTTGAGATTCTGCAATAAAATGAATTGTACAGATCATTCTTGGTGCTTGCATAGTGAGCCAGAGAAAAAGCACAATTTCTAAATATCTTACTGTTTGTAAGCAATATTTACTATTTGTAATAGTCTTCTATTACTATTTGTAATATTTACTATTTGTAATAGAGGTCTGCGCGCTATGTGGGACCCTCGCCCGGCGGCCGGGGATCGAACTGGTGCTACGGAGGCTGCGGGCAGCTTCGCAACCCAGCGCTCAACCACTGCGCCACCGGGGAGGTCCAAGTTATTTTTTTCTTGACTGTACATTTCCAAATCATTAGTTGCAAGGTATTTTTTACCTTGACATTTACATCTGACATTTCCCTGATTTTCCTAGTATTCCCTGAAAGTTTGAAGTAATTGTCAAAAGTGAAATAACACAACTATGTGAATGTTCTACTTATTTTCCTGGTTAAAAAACAGGAAAACAGTATTCTGTACTTGACCATTTTGTAAATTCTAGCAAATAAGGAAATTCACCATCATAATGTGGAGTATATACAGATATGGAATAATAATGCTGTAAGTATTTATCAGTAAACTGATACTTCAATAAAAATTTAAAAATTAAATATAGGGCCTCTCTGGTGACCTAGCAGTGTATTTCAGTAAATCAGCCTTTTCTGCTCCCCACTCTGTCTCTGGTGAATCCTCTTACCCCCCTGTACATTTGGCCTATACTCCAGTTCTTCCATGCAAAAAAAAGATAACTGTATCTTCACATTTTTTAGCAATTCTATACCATCTTTAAATTGGAATATTCATTTATAACTTTAACACTTATAAGATCATATAGTCCTTATTGTATTTGGGGCTCCATTACCATTCTGTTTCTTAAATCTTTGTGATTTCTGAAAGGATACAGGTCCTTTTAAAACTTCTGAAGTTTTCACGTCATAAGCACCTGGAGATGGAGCACAGCCTAAGAGGAAACATGAGCATTAATATCTCATCCAATGTTACTTGTGATGAAAACACTAATTCAAAAGGATACATGCAACCCTATATTTACTGCAGGACTATTTACAATAGGTAAGATATGGAAACAACCCAAATGCCCCAAAATAGATGACTGGATCAAGAAGATGTGGTACATATACACAATGGAATACTATTCTGCAATCAAAAAAGATAAACTCATGCCATTGCAGCAACATGGATGCAGCTAGAAGAGATTATATTTAGTGAAATAAGTCAGAAGAAAAAAGAAAAATATCAGATGGTTTCACTTAGAGGAGGAATATAGGGGAAACAAATAAGGAATCAGGAAAAAACAACAATAATAAATAAAAAAAACAAAATTAGCAGGTAACTATAAATCAGACATCCTGCAAGGGAGGAGGAAGTAGCAGAATCAAAACAGGGAAAAGGGAAAAGCAAAATGGACTATGGTGATGGTTCATGGGTGAATTGGTAGTGGGAACTTTATAAGGAAAACATCTGAAAGGAGAAAGCATACAAGCATACATCATACAAAAATGAGCAATGATCACATATATATATATAAATTTTAAAAAATTTTAAAAAGAATGGGGGCATATAAAAACAAAAAAAAGACAATTAAAAATGTTACTTATGATGCAAGTTAAAAATATCATAATAAAACGAATTTATTATTGTAAATGTAAAAATGCCATTAATGACTGCTTCTTTGTTTTTTTCAAATGCAAAGAGCATCTGTCTGTTATTATAAAAATTCTCTCTATGCAGAACAGTGTCACTATCTGTTACTTCAACTGGCCTGAAGGAACACAGGCAACTGAACACAGGCCTGATGCTTGGGATAAGCATCAGACAAAAACAAGTCATGTGGCTTTGTTGTTAAGGAATGAATGTAAGAAAATAAGTGTCTGGTATCAACTCTATTCAAAGTCACTGAGGTGACTATCATCAGATTCTAGAAATAAAGCAAAAAAAAAAAAAGTCCAGTCCTCGGGATTTATCTTGGAATAAAAAATTTATCTATTTCTGGTTAATATCAATGTAGCAGTCCTACTGATGACACCAACTGCCATTGTGAGGTACTGGCAGCAACACTAAGAGCAGTTTGAATTTTTTGAGCACTTATTAGGTGCCAAGTGAAATTCTAAGTATCTTACAGATATCTTATTTAATGTTTAGCAATTTAACAAAAACCCTATACAACAATTTATGGAGAAGGAAACTGAGATTCAGGAAATTTACAAAGTCATACTACACTAAGTGCAAACTGTAACAGACTACAATTCTATGTTCCAGAAGTTCATATTAGGTAACCTCACTTAACTGGTGACCCAAATTAAGGGCATTTCAGGGTGCATATGCATAGCAGATTTGACCTGGCCTTCAGGACTTAACAATACAAATGTCAAGTAGCATAAAGTTTTAGCTCTTTAGAAATCCACATACTTATACTCATCTCTGAAAAGCTGTTTACTCCAGCCTAGAATCTCGTGTAAATAAAGAGGGATGGCAGGGAGGATGACCATTCCAAGGCAACTCTTTTGGTCCCTAAGAGATTTTCAAAGCAAGTGGTAGATCTTGATTAGCATTAGCAAACAGTGGACCACAATAGAAAATATCAGAGTAATTCACATGAATAATGTGAAGCATTGTTTTGTGGGAATTCTCTTTCAGTTATATGTATAGATATAAAAAAAATCTTGGATAGAGATATATTCTCACCTTGGACATAATGAGAAAGTATTAACATCATTTTTTTTTCATTCATTTTAAGCAGGTTGTTCTCACCTTGGACGTAGTGAAAAAGTATTAACTGTAAGGGTTTGGGTTAGGGATTGCAGGTTTCAAATTAGAAGAGAGAATGAGGGTTAGAATTCACTTGGGTAGCTTAGGTAAAGAAAGACTTAGCCAAAAGCACATATCTTGGGTAGCTCAGATTTCTCACACCTCACTGTGCACACCTTGGGGTGAACGGTGGGATAACAGGAGGGTTCCCTAAAGTCAGGCTTAGCGTGGCATGTCTTAGATTACCCATTTCATTCATTTGGGATAGGATAGCAGGAGTGGAGGAACACATTGCATATTTTAAAACAAACAGGAGACTTCAAAGAAAATTGTCACCACTACTGTTAGTTTTGTCTTTTGGGAGAAGTGGGTTTGAAGGCTGCAAAATCCATGGTTATTTTCCTTTGTTCTTTGCTCTTAGGTATGCTGCTCTACACTTGGCACAGCAGCCAGAAAAAAAAAAAATGTTGAATTTTAGTATTCTAGTTTGTCTTTATGTCCACACTCTCAAAGGGGACAAGGGTCACCAAAAATGGGACAGTGACCAATGACTAAGCATCAAGTTAGTTGAGAACAATTAAAACCACATTTAACAAAAACCCTTCCCTAAAGACTTATGAGTCAAATTTGATGGTTATGGAAACTGTGATTTAAGAATTGGTTTGAAATCCAGTTTGTATATTTAAGGAACTCTCTGTGAGACTGTGGCACAAGCCATTTCCATGCTCTAGGTAGTCTCCTATTAACACTTAAGTATCCTACATACCAGATATAACTTACTAGAGATCTGTGGAGAGGAAACTTCAGACAAAAAGTATGGGATGTCTTGGAAGATACCACAAATTTCTGGAACAACCTATATCTAACCAGAAATGACCTAATCAACAATGACCAGAAGCTAACACAGGCAAACAATGTTTATGTGCAAAAAAAAAAAACAACAAAAAACAAAAAACATTTTATGCATTGTATTGAACAAATTCTCCGAACTTCCAGACCTCTTTATTTTCTATTTCTTCCACCTAGAATAGAAAACACACCTTCCATTTTGCCTGGCTAACTCTCACATATAATGCATGGATCATGAGCCTTGACATCAGCTCTCCCACTACTGTTGTTCTACACAGTTACAAAACCCTTCTGTTTCCTCACATGTAAAATGAGGACAACATTATCTTCCTCATCTATGATAGCAGGGTGAGGCAGAGAAGACCTTCTCACAGCTCCAGCACAGTTACACCTGCTCAATGCTGAGAACATATCAACCACACCCAAGGCTTCCTGGTTTTGGCGTTTATGCACTGCAATGATTCAGAGTACAAGATGGACTCGTGGAGAATCCAATTCGGTTGTCTCGCTATGCAACACCGAGCAAATCTAAGACTCAGTCTTCATATCAAGAAATAAAGAGTAATAGGACTACCTCTCAGGGATGGTGGGGAATTAAAGAACTAATAATCAATGTAAAGACTTAATAGGGTGCCTGGGGTACTGTCCGTATTAGCTGCCAATATTTTAACTATGTAGTTTTCAGTAAGTGCTACTGCCATAACTTTACACCTATCAACTGCCTCTGCCAATTTCCCTTCTTTGATGACAGTAGAATATCCAAAAGGAACCCACAAGTTAAGACGGAAGGCAATGATCAAATGTTCTTATCATGAGGTCCTCCAGACAGGTCCCCATGTCCTTCACCCTTATTTAGTTTGCTCACAGCACTGATCACTGAGGGCAAACCCCATTGAAATGCAAGCTCTAAGGGCAGGGGGCTTTGCTTTGCTCCCTGCTGTATCCATAGCAACAGAAGAGCGCTTGGCATGTGGTAACGCTTAGCTTATAGTGCAGAAAAATGAAGCAACTGAACGGACCCCACCCCAGGCCTAAAGTCACTAACTGGCTATTGATAAAGGGGAACTGGGAGGGGTCTGGGGATGAAGGCATCTCCCGTTCCCCCAGCTTCTTGCCCCGTACGCACCAGAAGGGTCATTGAATCGCTTCAGGGGCGCCTTAGGAAAGGACATGCTGACGCCAGGCTCCACAACCCGAGGGCGATCACCGTTCTGCCAAAAAACAGCCCGCCGCTGACGCCAGGCTAATCGCTTTAAATTCAAATCTCCCCGCTCATCCCCCGCCCACCCCGACGCTAGCCAATAGGAAAACGAACACCCTGGGCTCACCAATCCCGCACGCGAACACCCAAAGAGCATGCGCACGGGGCTATCCACAAGCCCAATCAGGCGGACCGTAAGATTAGGCAACCAGCCAATAGGAGGCCACTACTGTCTCCTTTTCCCCGCCCCCTCACCCTGCTCAGCCAATTGATTCTGGCTTTATTCAATTGAAACCTACGCGCAAGCAGCATTTGCGCAAGCGCACTTCACCTGAGGCGTTTTAAAGTTTTGGCGTCACATAGATGACACTCCAGTGAGTTGCCGCTTTGCTGCTCCAAAACTTCTCCCACTGTGCCTGGGATGTAAACTTCTCAGCGTTTCAGCTCTTCCCCACTGGGCCCTGTCAGTGTTCTGAATGGACACTGAATGGGAAAAACGAACACGCTTTGAGCCCGTAGACATCCCTGCGCATGTGCAGTGACCCGAGCTGGGCGACCTGGGCGTGGCCTACGCGTGGGGATTCCGCGCATGCGCCCTGCTCTCCGTGCTGCTGCAGCCGCGAGGCTGGTGGAGTATGTCGGCCCCGTTCGAGGAGCGCAGTGGGGTGGTTCCGTGCGGGACGCCGTGGGGCCAGTGGTACCAGACCTTGGAGGAGGTGTTCATTGAAGTTCAGGTGCCGCCAGGCACTCGCGCCCAGGATATCCAGTGCGGCCTGCAGAGCCGGCATGTGGCGCTGGCAGTGGGTGGCCGCGAGATTCTCAAGGTAGCGCCACGGCGGGGCTTGTGCGGGTGTCTCGCCGGCCTCCTTACATCCCGGAGTCGTCAGGGTCCTTGGTCCCGGGGACAGACTGGGCAGAAGCTACGGCTCTTCTTGCAGGCCGAAGGAGAAGGCGAAAACCTGGTCTGATTTGGTCCGGAGCTCCCACCTGTGGGCCATTCTGAGTTGGGAAATTTGAGGTCTCCTTTTAGCTGCTGCTTCTGCTCCTCTGAGAGGCTTCAGCTGAAGACAAATGAGCTAGATCGTTAGAAAAACAAATATTTATCAGGAAAAAAGTACTTTGTTGCAGGCACTGATGTAGTTGCTGGGAGGACAGCGTTGAGCAAGATGTTTCCTGCTCTCAGAAACACTCAGGTTATGTTTTTGTAGGGACATGGACTAAAACGACACGAATCCATTTTCAGGCGGTTGCAGGAAAGCACAAGGAAAACATGCAGGGTGGGGGCTCTTAGGGTGAAGCTTCAGTGATAATAAGTGATTGGTTTTCTCATTTGAAGGGAGAACGCTTGTTCGTGGGGTGTTAAGCAGGGAGTCAAGAAGTGTGTGAGGATAGCTAGTATCTTCTATCTTCTGTTTGCAATAAATAATAATTCTTTGGGTTAGGGACCCACTTTTTCCTTGTTAGCCTTTTTTTTTTTTTTTAAGATTTATTTATTAATGCATACAAGAGCTGGGGTACAGGCCAGAGATGCAGGGTGGGTGAGAGGATTCACCAGACACAGAGTGGGGAACAGAACAGGCACATTGACTGAAACACACTGCTGAGGGGAGCAGCGGGCTAGACAGGAGAGGTCTGCTGCACCATGTGGGTCACCTCCCTGGCTGGGGATTGAATTCGTGCTGCAGGGGCCGCGGATAGCTTCATAAATTGTGTCTTAACACCTTGCTCCACCAGGGAGGCCCTAGTTACCCTTTTAAGTTCAGTTAACAAGTTTCTTCTCAGATGAGATGCCCCTGATGCCTGGTGGCAGCGTGTTGTTGTAACTGGGATTCTGGAGGATGCTTGGCTCTGCCATTTTTCTAGTTTTGTAACCCCTGGCGAGAGATTTTTCAGTGCATCTTAAACCTTCATCCCCAAGGTGCTGTAGTTATAGTACTGTTCACATGCCATGGCATCCACGTGAATTCGAGCTTGGAGCATCGCTACCTGTTAGATATAATAAATATAATGTAGTGCCTCAGTGAATATAGGAAGATTCTTGTGAAGACATACAGTAATGTCAACATGGATCTTAATGACCTTTCTGAATATTTGTCCAATTCATTGTTTCCTGAACAATGGCCCCAGATGACACTTCAAATTTAGTAATTTCAATAACTTCGGGGATTTAGATAGAACTGTAAGATTTTAGGTGTACAGTTAGACCAGTGGAATGTTTTTCACTAGTGTTCACTTATTAAAAAATCTGGCCTTTTACATGACATTTTAACTTCTTTTCCTAAAACTTGAATTTGGCAAGTAGCACCAAGAGTAGACTTGAGCAAAGAGTTTCTGAAAAATCAGTAACAACTAATCTTACATCAAATATACAGCAGGTAGTTAAACAATTTTTAATGCCAGCTCCTCAACAAGGAGATTTAACCAGTTTTTTAAAGTTTATTTCAGATAGTAATTTCACGTTTAGCTAATTATTGGTTAGTATTCATTTTCTAAAAATAATAAGGAGCCCTGATCTTTCTTTATTATTTGTCATAATAAATATTTCAAACAGTATAAAGGAGGTTCCTTTTCACTTTCTAGGAGAAAACGCAAGGTTGAACATCCATGAATATAGTGAAATGGGTAAAATTTGATCTCGCTACTATAACTGACAAGTACATGTGACTTAGGAAATCAGAAATCTTAAATCACGAAAGCTTTATAAAAACTAATGAAATGCTCTATATTTAGTAACTGACCTGTTTATTTTTCAGGGTAAACTCTTTGATTCTACAATAGCTGATGAGGGAACGTGGACTTTGGGTAAGGGATTAATCTATTACGACATAGAATCTTTCAAAAAATTAATGTTGGGCCTCCCCTGGTGGTGCAGTGGTTGAGCGTTGGGCTGCGAGGCTGCCCGCAGCCTCTGCAGAGCCAGTTGGTTCCCCGGCAGCCCGAGAGGGTCCCACAAAAAAAAAAATTAATCCTGTTTTGTAACTTAGTATATTTTTCTCTGTAGTATGAGATCATTTGTCTTTGAAAAATAGGGTAATAGAAATGTGTTGAAGACAATTGTATGTGAAGGTTACTTAACAGTTTTTGAAAATACAAAATTTAATGATGAACTCTAATTTCTTTATAATTTTTTTTGTTTGTTTAGAGGACAGAAAAATGGTCCGTATTGTTCTTACAAAGACAAAGAGAGATGCAGCAAATTGTTGGACTTCTCTTCTAGAATCTGAATATGCAGCTGATCCTTGGGTGCAAGACCAAATGCAGAGAAAACTGACATTGGAGAGATTCCAGAAAGAAGTAAGTCAGAGGAATGTATGAACATATGTAGTTAAATATCTAAAAATTATAAAACACTAATTATTTGAAATTATAACACAAAATATGTTTATAAAAAATTACAAAAATTCTTTAGAAGAATTTTTAAAATTAAATGATTAGAAAAATGACTGACTTTTTCATGTACTATTTGATTATTTGTTATATTCATGAGGGGAATTTATTTGTACTACCATAATTTCTAAGCTAAATTTATTTAATGTTCAACATCCGTGTATGAATAAACTTTCAAAAATTCAAGTCAGTATAGACTTAACATCATGTAAAAAAGTTAAAGTTGAGAGGTCTCTTCATCAACATCTCCCCAGTCGATCTCATTCTTACTTCATTTATGTATTGGTTTGATTTGTTTTTAACATAAATGGAGAATCATACTGTGTGTGTTTTGTTCATGTTTCTTTTTCACTTAATAGTTTGTCTTGGGTCTCATTACCTACTAATGTATATAGATAAAACATTCCTTTTAACTGCTTTAGAATGTTCTTTAAATGTGTCATTTATTTAGCTACTCTCCTTTGATATTTAGATTTCTCCACTTTTGCCTGTTTCAAGCAGTTTTTGCTTTCATTTCTTTGAAACTATTCAAATGTTCTTTAAAATAGTTGTCTAGGGGCCTCCCCGGTCGCGCAGCTGTTGAGCACTGGGTTGCGAAGCTGCCCACAGCCTCTGCAGTGCCATTTCGATCCCCAGCCACCGGGTGAGGGTCCCACATGGCACGCAGACCTCTACTGCCGCCCGCTGCTCCCCTCAGCAATGTACTTCGTCAGTCTGCCTGCTTTGCTCTCTGCTCTGCCTGGTGAATTCTCTCACCCTCCCGCGCTTCTGACTGTACCCAGTGCTTGTATAAATAAATAAATCTTTAAATATATATATATATATATATATATATATATATAGTTGTTTAGGAGAGTAATTACTGGATCAAAGCACTGTTACAGTTTTGATGGATAATTTCTGTCTATATAATGATTATTCCTAAAATTCATTATCTCCATCTGTCCAACAGACATACCATATCTGTAAAGAACTCCCCAGTTTGCTCTAACTCTAGCCTTCTTATCTCGGTTGATGGAAATAGTTGCTCAGACAAAAACAAGACAAAACAAAACTGAAGAATCATCCTCAGTTCCTATCTCTCTCACACCCTATCAGTCCTTGTAAGATTTATCTTATTTTTTTTCATATCTTTTAGAATCCTGGATTTGACTTCAGTGGAGCAGAAATCTCAGGAAACTACACTAAAGGTGGACCAGATTTCTCAAATCTTGAGAAATAGCTGCTATTTATTTCTTAGCATTCTGTGGATCCTAGCAGATATTGCCAACTTAATCAAAGGAACAGAATTATATTGTGGAAGAAAAATGCAGACGCCTTGGCTATAGTTAACAAGTTGCAAAATGTATTTTAACATGGTTCTAAAAATTGCATTCAAATATCATTTACATAGAAAACATCTTAAATACTGTGGAAATTATTCTGTTGATACATGGTAACTTTTTTTGGACTTATTTTTGCTCAGCATGAAGTTTTATATGCTGCAATTTACTAATTTCATATTTAACCTGTATATTTAATATAGAAAACATTAGGGTATAAATCATGTGAAATGACAGGGTGCCTTCAGGATAAATGTCTTTTGTTCAGTAAGTGTGATGCAGGAATAATGTTCAATAAACTTTTCTAAATAGGAATTGTGTACCCCTTTGTCTAGTATACCAGTTCACACAAGGAGCTTATATTGAAAAAAAAATTTAAGAAAGGAAAAAACAATCCCCACATAAATTCTGAGCAAGTTATTTTTAGGAGTTAAAATTCTGAAATACTATTCCTTGAGAGTATGTTATATCAAGAAATAGAAAAATAGTTAAAAACCTAACAGTAGGAATGGATAAATACAGAAGAGATGCAATTAAGTGAAAATGGGTTTTAGATGAGTGCTTTGTTAATGACAAAGAAAGTTATTGTCATGTATTATAAATTAGTGATATTTACATCTTCAGTGATCCAGACATAGAAACAAAAACTATTCACTGAGATTTTATTTCAACCTTTTTATTTATTTATTTGTTTGTTTGTTTGTTTATTTATTTTTTGTGGGGCCCTTGCTGGTGGCCAGGGAATGAACCGGCGCTGCAGAGGCTGCAGGCAGCTTCGCAGCCCAGAGCTCAACTGGTGCGCCATCAGGGGAGGCCCTTCATTGATATTTTAAAAGATAATCTCAAATATGTAGAAAAGTTACAAGTAAGATGCACAGAATTTTCCTTCTGAACCATTTGTGTTTAAGTCGGTGGCATGACTCCCCATCACCTTGGAGTACCTGAGTTTGTAGTTCCTTCAAAAAATATTCTTACCCAACTGCAGATGACCTTTTTCAGGTTGAAGAAGTTCCCATTGATTAATTCCTAGTTAGCTGAATTTTTTCACGAGTGTATTTGGATTTTCTGTTTCTGTGCCAATTGACCAGATTGTATTTTTTTCCCCTTTATACTGTTAATTTGGTGGATTATGTTGATTTTCAAATTGTGAACCAGCTTGTGTTACCCCCCTCACCCTAAACTTACTCATGCTGTATTACTCAATTTATACATCTGGATTTGATCGTTGATTTTTTTGTCCATTCATTTGGGAAGTTGGTCAGTAGTTGTTTGTTGTGGGTGTTTTTTGGTATTTATCTTGGGTTGGTATTAGGGTAATGTTGGCTTTAGAAAATGAATTCGGAGGGGATACTTCTGTGTTCTTTCTGGAGCAGATGTGTATAATTTGTATTAAGTCTTTAAATGTTTTATGGTATTTGCCAGTAAAATTTTAGATGACAGATTCAATTTTTTTAAATAATTATAGAAGTTATCCAGGGTATCTAGTTAAGTTCTGGCATTTTGTTTTTCAAGGAATTGAGGGATGTCATTGGACTCTATATGCAGAGTTCTATGTGGGATTTCCTTGGCATCTTTTTGAGGTCTTTAGAGTTGGTAGTGTTTTCTTTTTTAATCATTACGAAGTCATTTCAGTCTTTTTTTTTTTTTTTAGGCATTTTTTTTTTAAATTTATTTATTTATTTGTTTGTTTTTGTTTATACATGCACTGGGTACAGTCAGAAGCGCTGGAAGGTGAGAGAATTCACCAGAGCCAGAGCGGGGAGCAGAGCAGGCAGAAGGACCGAAGTACACTGCTGAGGGGAGCAGCGGGCGGCAGGAGAGGTCTGCGCGCCATGTGGGATTCTCCTCCGGTGGCCGGAGAGCAGCCGGGGATCGAACCGGCGCTGCAGAGGCTGCGGGCAGCTTCGCAACCCAGTGCTCAACCGCTGCGCCACCGGGGAGGCCCCATTTCAGTCTTTTTTCTTAATCTTGCTGCAGGTTTATCAATCTGATCACTCTTTTCAAAGTGCCAGTTTTTGGTTTTGATCTGTCCTATTAATTTGGTTTCAATTTCACTGGTTTTTCACCTCTCTGTTTTCATGACCTTGTGCTTTGTTTGGGTTTCTCTTACCCTTCCTCTGTTTCCTCGAAGTGGAAGCTTAGATTATTTGGCGCCTTTTTACCTTAGCAAAAGCAGTCAATGGTGTGAATTATTCTCTAGGCCTATGGTTAAGCTATATTCTACACATTGATAATTTAATTTTCATAAGGGATAGAACTCTTGCTGCAGTGGCTGCCAATAGCTTGACAAAACTGTTTATAACCCCTGTGCCACCAAGGAGACCCCATCATTGTTCATTTTTATATAGTTTTTGATTACTCCTCTCAGGTGTAGTCCCCATAAAATTCCCACCACCAAGTCACCCGTGAATCATTACCATAGTTCTCTTGTGCTATTCCTGACCATTTTAATCCCTCTCCCTCTCCCTGCCCTGCTGAATGTCTCTGATTTATAGTTGCCTGGTAGTTTTTTTCCCCCTCATCCCTTATTTGGTTACCCTATATTCCTCCTATTAAGTGAAACCATCTGATATTTTTTTCCTTCTGACTTATTTCATTGAGCATAATCCCTTCCAGCTCTCTCCATGTTCTAGCATGAGTTTATCTTTTTTGATTGCCAATAGTATTCCATTGTGTATGTATACCACTTTTTTAGTCACCTATTTTTGGGCATTTAGGTTGTTTCCATATCTTACCTATTGTAAGTAGTGCTGCAGTAAAACATACAGGAGTACAGGTTTCCTTTCGAATTAATGTTTTTGTGTCCTTTGTGTAGATTCCTAGGAGTGGAATTGCTGGGTCATATAGTAGCTCCATTTTTTGTAATTTGAGGAACCTCCACATAGCTTTCGATAGTGGTTGGACCAGTTTGCATCCCCATATTTTAGGGTGATTTTTATGTAGGGTGATTTTTATGATTTTTATGAGTAGACCCAGTTGGTTGCTGGTATTATTCAGTTCTTATATGTCTTTGCTGGTTTTCTAGTAATTCTATACATTACTGAGAGGAACATTTAATTCTCCAAATAGAATTGAACATTAGTCCTTTTCTCCTTTCAATTTGTCAGTTTTTACTTTATTTTTTAAACTCTGATGTTATACATATTTAGGAATGTCATGTCTTCATGATGAATTCATTATTTAATGTCCCTTTTTATCCCTGGCCTTTTTGATTGCTTCTAAATCTACCCTGTTAAATTAATACAGTGATAACACATTTTATGAAAATCATTCTATTAGCAGAAAGTAGGGAAAATAAATCAAGTGTTAATTCTTCTGTGATCATGATGGTAGTAGCACTGACTGAAGTTAATGTGACCAGAATATAGTTGATTGGAAATTACACAATTTCATGAGTCCATTTACTCTGTTTTGGGAGGTAATATGCAGTATTTAAGAGCATAGCCTTTGAGTCAGAACTGCCTCGATTTGAATCCCATCTCCCAGCACAGCAAGTACGTAACCTTGGGCTAATCACTTACCTCCTCTCTGGCTCTTCACTTATAAGTTGGGATAATTGCATCAGTTTAGAAGATTCCGAGATGACTCATAAAACATCTGACAATAGGACTTGACAGTTAAAAACCATTGGCAACCATAAATGTCTATTGTTTTTATATAGTGTCAAATAATTAGAAAGATACATATGCCCCTTTTAAAAATAACACGAGACATTTTTCACTATCTAGCCTAAGTACAAGAAGCAGCTTTTTATAAGTATTTTTTTAAAGATGGATAAGAATGTAGTTTTTATTTGCATGACTAACAAGGGGGCAGTTGTTTTGCTTTCATGAGTGCAGGGTCTGCCATTTGTCCAGGGGACCATGATTCGGGATTAACTTGATCCCTTAGCCATCTGCCATGTACCACTTCTCAGCTACCATGTCTTCATACTCATCTGCATATAACAGTTTTTCTTTCAGCAGTAATTCCTTGTAGTGCCCACTTTATGTCTTGTTATTTTAATTAAACATGGTTTAATTAAATAGTTTAAATTTCAATAATTACTACTAATGGATCTGAGTAGGCTAACACAAAACTTGGCAGTTACCTGTTTGTACTAAGAAGAATTTATACTGAGGATGTAGCCATAGTAACGATGTATCTAAATGATAAAAGTGACAGTGCAAAAATAACAACTTTCATTGCCTCTTTGGCATATTTGTTCACCTTGTCTGTTTTGTAAAGACATTAGAAAGTAAAGCATCAGTTAGTTAATAACCATATTATTAAGAGATTGTTTCTGCTACCATGCATCTTACTGTAGTGCTAAATTTAAATATACCAAGTAGAGAGTAGCTTTTTATTATGGCTCTATTATCACAGTTCTAAAGGTTAATTTAACCAGAAAAGAAAAAAAAAAAAAAGGAAAACCAGCCAGCGAAGGAATGCATTTCAATGACTTTATTGAAAGGTATATCCCTTAGTACCAAATCATAATGGTAGCTGATTAGATTACCTCTGTCAACTCAAAATTAACACTGATGTATTAAAAATATTGAAATATTAACCTTTTGGGAAAACTGAAGTTACCCACAAAACATGGTTTACAAAAGTGTAATATATACTCTGGTTCTTTGGTTTCTTTTTGAGTACATGTTTAACAATAACATGATGGCAAAATCAGTTGCCTGCTGCAATGAGTAGTAATCGCTTAAACACCTTTAACACTGCTAATCCTCTTACATTCACTGACTTGACAGGACACTACCTCAGCAATCTCATCATTATGAAGATGCCTACTTCCTTTTCTTGACTTTCTTTTAGAAAAGTAGGGGTAATTAGTGAAAATACATTCTCATCTGTTTTTGATTTAAAATTCTAATTAGGAGCAGTGGTGGTTTTATAAAAACAATGCTTAGGAAAAAGTTCTGGAGTGTTAAATCATGTTTTCAGAAGTTGATTTATTCTGAGTTACTAATACAATAAAAACTAATATTCTTAACTGGATTAGATTGAGGCAGATTTTATATAAAATTTTCTATTTTGGATACAAACATCCCTGTTTCTAGAAAAAAATACTAAATACAACTTAATATGCCAAAATTACTAGGTCTGTAGTTTGCCCTATATAAAATGTCCTCAAGCTTAATGTAATTCATGTAGTTCCACATCTCTGGATTATATATTACTTAAAGTATGAGTGCCAAGAAACCATTTACGCTGCCTAGAATAGTGACCTTAAAAGTGCATTTGTGAAATGTTGGCTTGGATGTAACCTCATAATTTAAAATTTAAATTAAGAAGGTTACCATCTTTAATACCACCTAACTACAATATATTGACCCACTATAGAAAGTTGCATCAATATTACAAATGAACATTCACAGTTTACCTACCCAGGCATATCACCATTTTCACATTTATGCTCTTAGCTTTGATTTATATGCCTCCTGGATTAGGAGTAATTCCAGTACTGCATAATGTTAGACAGTTTTCCCAAATCTGAGAACATCAATGCTAATCTAGTTGTGATGTTTAGAGGCTTCACAGCTTAAATCCATTATAATATGATGAATCCACAGCTCAGGATTTTGGAGAAAGGCTTCAGAAAAGTGTTTTGGTTGCTGGAATAATCCTATTCAAATAAAAAAAAAAACAAGTTATCAGAAGTCTCCCAAACATAAATATCACTATTAACAAAATGAACTGTTCATATCTTCAGATTCATAATCATCTCATGCAAATTTGTTAAAGGTTAACATTTAATTTTGAATAGAAAAAAAGTTACCCAGCTTTACACTGATTTTACTTACAAGCTATAGCTCAGATTAGTTAACACGTGGTTCAACCTTTTGTTTCTGTTGTGCATTCTACTCAGGCCTGTACAACTTTAAATGAGCCAGATCTTGAGCCTACATTTAGCAAAATGATTTCAATTAAACAGCTAGTATCTTCTTACTCCTTTAAATATTTAGGGTATTAAGGAGGAAACTGTTGGGCCTCCCCTGGTGATGCAGTGGTTGAGTGCTGGGCTGCAAAGCTGCCCGCAGCCTCTGCAGCGCCGGTCCCCTGCCACCAGAGAGGGTCCCACATGGCGCGACAGACCTCTCCTCCGTGCCCACTGCTCCCCTCAGCAGTGTATTTTGTCACTCTGCCTGCTCTGCTCCCCGCTATGGCTCTGGTGAATTCTCTCACCCTCCCGCACTTCTGACTGTACCCAGTGCTTATATAAATAAATAAATAAATAAATCTTAAAAAAAAAAAAAAAAGAGGAAACTGTTTTCTAAGCAAGTAATTTAATGAAATGGTGAACAAACATACCAAAGATTGGAAAAATCCTTACTCTTAGGATGTTGGGCCTTGAGTGAAGTAAATGTTCTCAAATATTAGTTAACTAGATCAGTGAAGTTGTTTTCCCCTTTGCCATTTCTACTTCATTTAATTTATTTTAAAAATAATTGCGGGCCTCACATCAGAACTATGAAGCAATCCACAGCTACATGCCCGGCTAGGGAGCTACTTACCCACGTGGTGCAGCAGACCTCTCCCGTCTTGCCCGCTGCTCCCCTCAGCAGTGTATTTTAGTCAGTCTGCCTGTTCCGCTCCCCACTCTGTCTCTGGTGAATCCTCTCTCACCCCCCACACCTTTGGCCTACACCCCAGTTCTTGTATGCATAAATAAATCTTTAAAAAAATAAAAATAACTTTGGGGGCCTCCACAGTGGCACAGCAGTTGAGCGCTGGGCTGCGAAGCTGCCCACAGCAACTGCAGCGCAGGTTCAATCCCTGGCTGACAGGCGAGGGTCCCACATGGCGTGCAGGCCTCTCCTGCCGCCCACTGCTCCCCTCAGCAGTGTATTTCGGTCCTTCTGCCTGTTCTGTTCCCTGCTCTGGCTCTGGTGAATTCTTTCACCCTCCTACGCTTCTGACTGTACCCAGTGCTTATATAAATAAATCTTGGAAAAAAAAAAAAAAGTTTGTTTAAAAAAAAAAAAAACTTTGGGGAGCCTCCCTGATGGCCTAGGGGTTAAGTCTCAGTGCTATCACCTCTGCAGCCTGAGTTCAATGCCTGGCCAGGAAGCTAACCCACATCACGCAGCAGACCTCCCCTGTCTCGCCAACTGCTACCCTCAGCAATGTATTTCAGTAGATCTGCCTGTTTTGCTCCTGCTCTGTTTCTGGTGAATCCTCTCATCCCCCACACTTCTGGCCTGTACCCCAGTTCTTGCATGCATAAATAAACATTTAATAAAAGTAATTTCAGACTTTAATTGTATAAGAAAGAACATTAGAAAATTTTCCCTCTATTAAAAGTAACTATGAGTGAAATTTACCAATTAAGGACCCAATTCAGGAATAGTTGGAAGGTGGGTTATTCTGTAGAAACTATGCTTCAGTTGCCGTGCAGTACGCCCAGAAACAATCCACTTCAACTTCTGAACATTGGGTTTGGAACACTTGTTTGATGAATATTCAGTTAAACACTTGGAAACGAGCTCTTGCCAGAAGGTTAGATCTCTGCCATTTATCTGTTTATAAATTTAAAAGAAGGTCAATAAAATGAAAGTCCTATAGTAATTAGAAATGACAAGTTTACTGACACATGCTATGTCAAAAAATTTTGAAGATAAACTACTGAAGTTTCAACACATTTTACTGAAAGAGTTGTACAAGGCATTTAGTTCTTTTTATAGCTGTTAACAGGATCTAGGTTATGACCTTGACATACCTTGGAATGTTTCTGAAGACATTCTACTTCTTCTGTCAACTCCACTCGCTTCTGTGCTTGGATCTCCAGTGCAATGATGGACAACGCCAACACAGAAGGCTAAAAGAGATGCATTTCAAAGCAAACATTGAATATAAGAATTGGTCTATTTAAACAGGTTTAATCTTTACAAAATATTTACCTTTGCTTTAGAAAATATGATCCTGCAGTGGCATGCCTTCAGCTGAGCTTCTAGTCTTTCAAAATTAAGGTTATTTCTCCTTCAAAAAGAAAATGAGATCAACTTTATGTAGAGATAATTTTACATCTAGTCAAAAGGCAATTTTTTAGAAAGACATTGAAGTTGGTTTTAAGGTAAAGTTTATGAATACTTGTCAAAGAAAATAAATTATTTGACATAAATAATTCCCCTTTTTTCAGAGACATTATTAGCTTCTTAAGGACACTACACATGACATAAATGGTTTGGGCCAAAAAATTAAAAATAAAAGCATCATGCCACAGCTATTAAGTTTCTTTTCAATAAATATAATTCTGAGTGTCCACTACACTTTGCTTAAGTTTGTGTTAGGTTCTTATCTACTAGGGTCATTACTTTATAAATGAAAAATAAAAAGTTGAAATGTCCTTTATCTAGATGCCAAATTAGCCTTCATGGAGTTCAGAAAGCTATTGACACCGAAAGTTTTCTTACTTTTGTTGGACAATGAAGTGAAATCCAAGGAACTGCACTTGTTATTTTATTACTTTGATTGGAATTCTGCTGGGATACTGATTTTATGGAATAGTCACATACTATGATTCTGATTTCCAAATCTTTTTAGTTCTACATACCTTTCAAATGGCAAATTCTCTTGAATGAGTGAATAGTAGAGTTGCAGAAACTGAAAGGGAGTAGTAGCTTTAATTTTCCAGCACACCTTCTCCAATACAATCTTTTCCATTCTCATCAGGTCTGAAACTGTGAATCTATACTGGCTTATCCGGATCAAGTCAGCTGCCAGTGGGACATTCCTTTCCTCTTCTATAGACTTTACAGCCAAATAGAAGCAGCTCAGCCCAACACACCCAAGGTGCTTGGGCTGTACCTAAAAAGACATATAGGCCAAGTCTTTATCTTATTTGAGTGAAAACAAAGGATAATCTCCAGCCTATCATTTTGAAAACGTATCTTTGAAGTCTATTTCTCAATTCTGATGACTTAACATGATCCATATATACCTGTCAACCCTATGTACCCCCTGGGAGCCAACTTTTGAATAAGTGAACTAGTAATGTTCAATTATACAATGTTTGGCTTCAGTACAAAAAATCCTTACCTTTTTTTTTTTCCTTTCATAACATCACTGTGAAACTATAAGCACGGTGTTCTAGTTGGACCAAATAAGTGAACTACCAAAGGCACATGCATAAAATTTCTTTGCAGCAAACTCTTTTCCCAGACTTTTTTTTTTGTAGTTACCTATGTGAAATAGTCTTTACTATAATGCATAAGTGTTTACTCTGCCTATAAAGCTCTATCACTACTAATCTCTTATTTATTCATCATTGTCTGTATGCCTATAATGTAAGGCACAAACTTCTTTGCCCTCTAAATTCCAGTACACTAAACTTTAAGAATCATTTACCAGTTATCTTTATTTGCTTTCCTCTCCTTGGAACCCTGCCAACAATAAATTTACTCCTCTTCAGTGGTAAAATGTAATTCCTTTCCTTACTATGTCTTATACTTACTTGTATGATAGTAATCAATGCAAACATTATTCCCACAGAAGATTTTAATGTACTTAAGGGCAGGTGGACGTTATTCACCTGTGCAATATTTATAGTCAAAGGAAGTGTGTGCAGTTGTGTCTAAAGAGTTTAGTGTGTTGTGCAAATGTCTTGAACCACATGATTGAATAAATACTAAGTTCCTTCTGTCTATGATGCCTTGTGTTAGGTACTGAGGAGAAAGGATGAGTTTCCTTCTAATCTTCACACTATCTCATCATTCAATCTGTATGACACTGGTATACAGAGAAGGTAGATATATTTTCACAGGCAAGTTCTAAGAGCTACAGATGTCCTGATTATCCAGAATAGGAGAATAACTACATAAATTCTCCTCCTTCAGAAGAGACTCTTTACTGTTTTCAGGCTGATGTTGGAGATGCCAAGTAGAAGCAATACTTGATTAAGCTCTATGACTAAATTAATTAGAACTTTATATATGAGTAGAGACTAAGAAATATACTCTTCTGACTAGATGGCTGATGACATAAAATAAAAAGATATTCTAATTATTACCATTATCCAGCATTACCATAACCTGGCTCAAACAAATTATACAATAAATGAAAATACTCAATCTATTAAAGATTTTTTTAGAAAAACAGCCAACTCTCCTACTGCAAGACCCTGAAATTAACTAATTGATATTATATTATTTTTCATGTGAGAAGTCCAATATGAATTTTTCTTATAAAAGGAGAACAGTATCAATGCTGTAGTACACAGAATTAGCTATGTTCTGACTACTTGCTGGAAAAAAACAGGTCAAGTTCATGAACACCAATCCCAAGCAATTTTATCTTCTAAACATTAAGACTATGAAATACCTGGTGGGCCTCCCTGGCGGTGCAGGGGTTAAAGTCTCAACATTATCAAGCTATCTATCACCAGCCACTGCAGCGTGAGTTTGATCCCAGGGCAGGGAGCTAACCCATATGGCACAGCAGACCTCTCCTTCTCACGGGCTGCTCCCCTCAGCAGTGTATTTTAGTAGATCTTCCTGTTGTGCTCCACACTCTGTCTCTGGTAAATCCTCTCACTCCCACCCCCACACCTCTGGCCTACACTTCAGTTCTTGTGTGCATAAATAAAAATAAATCTTAAAAAAAAAACCAAAGAAATACTTAAGGTAATATAGCTTTAAACATACCTTCATTTTGGACAGGAATCTGTCCAGTAAATTCACAGCTAGAGAAAATGTCTCAGTGTCGAAGCCAAAGAACTGAGTTAGACTAAGAAGATCTTTTACTTCAAAGTCCCTTAGCCTTGCTGTCATTCGGAGGCCATTATCATGTACAGACTCAATTAGTCTCAAGCCAGAGACCTTTGGCTGACATCTCGACTCCTGTTCCAACAGGGTATTCAGCTGGTGTAGCAGTTTCTGAGAGTCAGTTGTTGTCAGTACCTCTATCATCTATATATAGAACAAAGACCAGAAAGAAGCATAAGAATAGCCTTCCCCAGTTTCTTGGCCAGCTCTACCCTGCCAAGTACTTTATAACCCAAGTCTCCCCTCCCCCAATTCTGCTAGTGAATCTAAGTGATTGTAAGTGCCATTTGTTATTCCCACCCCCAGCAAATTGGTCATATCTTAACTTGTGAGTTCTTAGAGGGCAGGAGTCATGCCCTTTAAAAAAAGATGGCAAAACTTCAAGAAATACTTGTTCAAGTCATTCACAGTCAATAGATAACGATGAATACATGCTATGGAACAGGATACCCAAACTCGGAAATTACATCACAGTAGGTATTCTGTCATCTATTAGCATGTGAACTGTTCAAGTTAATATTTCTTACCCCTTAGTTCCTCATCTGTAAAGTTGGTATAAGGTTTTTACCTACTTTATAGCCTTGTGTGGAATAAATGGAATCACCTACGTACAAGTACACAGCTAAGTACATATAGAAGGTGCGTAAAAACACTGGAGGCCAATAATGAACGTATTTCCACAGTCTCTAAAGTGAGATGGCGATATATTTGTCTGGGATGGTTATGAAGATTCAACGAGATGGTTCAGTAAAGTTTGGCTCAGAAACTGCTTACTTGGGTCTTCCCAAGTGGTGCAAGGGGTTAAGTCACTGCAGCAGGAGTTCAAGCCCAGGCCAGGGAGATGACCCACAGGGTGCAGGAGCTCTCTCCTGTTTCCCCTGCTGCTCCCCTCAGCAGAGTCTTTCAGTAGCTCCGCCTGTTCTGCTCCCCACTGTGTCTCTGGTAAACCCTCTCACCGACCCCCAATACTGACCTGCACCCTAGCTCTTGTATGCATAAATAAATCTTAAAAAAAAAAAAAGAAAGAAACTGCTCGCTTTTATTAGCTTCCAGGGTGCTAGGGGAGCACGACGTGGGGGCGGGAGCCTAATTTCCCCCGCAAAATGAACCCGGGAGTTGCATTAATTTAAGACTGGGTATCACACATTCAAGTGCACCCGGCACAAGTGCACCCCCCAACCCGGACGGTCCCCTCCCACAAGAACCAAAAGGCGGGGGCGCATAAGGTTGGCCGCATAAGGAACCACAGACTAAATGGGTCCAATTCTCTGGGCCCCAGGCTGGTCCCAGGGCCGCGCCCCACCAGACACTAAGACACCCCAGGAGGCTGGGTGTGGCCCCGCCCCTCCAGGCTGGGCTAGATCGGACATGTCCCTGGCTCGCTGCAGCGAGAGCATTAACCATGGCAAAGCCAGCCCGCGCCCCGCGCCCCGGACTCAGGGCGCCCCCCGGGGACGCGCTCCCCCAGGTCGACCCCACCATCCCAGCTCACCTTGCTCGCGACTGAGGCTCCTCAGCGGTAACCACCCTCCCCGGGCCTGCTCTCACCTCACCCCACGATACCAGATCCGAGGCTCGCGAGGCGAGGGGACTCGCGGGCGAGCAGGGAGAGGCCCGGGGAGGGGGCGCCGTGCTGGGTGTGGGGGGCTTCGCAGCGCCGCCCGGGTGACACTGCTCCCGGCAGGTCAGATCCGAGTCCGAGGGGCTGCGCCTGGACGCCTGGAGGATATAGTGGGGGGCGGGACATTTCCACGGTTGATTGGCGTGTTTCTGCTGATGGATGGAGGCCGCTGTCCACAGGAGGTTGGTCCTCAGAGCATTGCGAGCAATCAGCGCACACTTCCCGCTGTGCCGGCGTCAAACTCCCCGCCCCTTGAAAGCGCCACTCCTACCTCAAAATGCCTCTCATTGGAGCATTTCTCTAAGTAGCTTCAATCAAGTGGAGGGTGAGCTCAACCTGGTGCACCCCAACACTGGTCGGGTCAGGGGCGCTTGTCAGTAGGATTTGCCAGGGTGTCGGGTATTGTACTAGAACGTAGGGGAGTTTTTGTACCATCCGATTTTGTACCATCCCCTCTTTGTAAAAATGCAGTGGATAATTACCAAAAAAAAGAAAAAAAAAAAAAAGAAAAACCTTGATTTTTTTCATTCAGCATGGAGAGATGGTGACATTTCGTATGGTGGTGTTATTTATTACACAGATTTTTCCCTGTGAGCTTTGGAAATCAATTGATCTTTGCCTCATTTTTGGGGTATGGTTTTTTTCTAAGAAGGGAGTTGGGCTGTGTAAATTCTTGGTCTTCTGCCAATTTTCTGAATTTTATTTTTAAGCAAATCGAAATAAAATAGTTGGTAGATTTTCTTTCTTTTTTTTTTTTTTTAAGATTTATTTGTGTATGCATACAAGAGCTGGGGTATAGGCCAGAGGTGCAGGGTGAGAGGATTCACCAGAGACAGAGTGGGGAACAGAACAGGCAGACCGACTGAAATACACTGCTGAGGGGAGCAGTGGGCGAGTCAGGAGAGTCTGCTGCGCCTTTCTGGTTGCTCCCAGGCAGGCAAGGGAATGGAACTGACCCTGCAGTGACTGGTGATAGCTTGATAGCGCTGTCTTTAACCCCTGCACCACCAGGGAGGCCCAAAGAGTTGGTAGATTTTCAAGAGCATAAAGTGAAAGGTGTATAGTTGACCATTGAGAGGAATTCATGGGCAAGATGTAGTGAATTTGAATTTCAGTCCACAGGCCCATGAGTGAAGAAATACTATGTATTTTATTTACTGTGAATGAAATTAATCTCTGGGTGTAGTGAGAAAATAATTAACCTGAAGCTTTCCTGGAGATCCCTCTCCCAACTGTCATAAAGGAGAAGGATGTAATAATAAAAGGGCCTGAGATATGGTGAGCAAGATTTGTGTCACTTCTCCATAGATTATATTTGGATGTTTCTGTTCTCATGGCTTCTTCCTAGTTAGTGGCTATCTGGGCTTTAAAAAGTGGAAATCTGGGCCTCCCTGGTGGCGCTAGAGGTTAAGCATCAACACTATGAAGCTATCCACAGCTACTGCAGCACAAGTTCAATGCCCAACCAGGGCTATGACCCACATGGCACAGCAGACCTTTCCTGTCTTGCCCACTGCTCCCCTCAGCAGTGTATTTCAGCAGATCTGCCTATTCTGTTCTGCTCCCCACTCTGTCTCTGGTGAATCCTCCCCCCACCCACACTTCTGGCCTGTACCCCAGCTTTTCTATGCATAAATAAATCTTAAAAAAAATAAAATAAAAAGTGAAAATCTGAAAGATTTACTGGCATCTTGCTGTTTACCCTGCCATGTATTTCCCTCATGCAATGCCTCAGAAACAAACCTTGAAGTGAGGGCAGGGTTATGGGGTGAGAGAAGAAGGAAAAACCAGGGAGTAAAAGCTCAGTTTCACAAAATGGGGCTCAAATAGGGTAGGAGACCTCGAACATCATTGAAAATACACCTACCTAATGACTATAAATGGACATTTTAAAATATTTTAAAAGTAATTTGATTATTACAATAATGTGTGTTTACAATGTACATGTTTATTCTTTTGGGTGTCTGTGACAAAATTAGGACTATATAAGCACGCCCTTGTTCAGTAGTATCTGTTGAACACATAATATGCGCCAGTGAGGAGCAAAACAGACCAGGCCCTGTGCTTGTGGACAGTATAGACTTTGTAATAAAACTGACTTATTATCAAGTCATCGACTGCTAACTAGTAGCGTGACTTTTAGCAAGCTATTAAATCACATTCTGTTTTCATTTTCTTTTCCCAAAAATAGTAAGTGAAAGTAATTTATTCTATTGAGAGGACTGAATAATGCAAAGTACATAAAGAAGTTAGGCACTGTGCCCTGAACACAGTAAATACTTGATAAGTGATAGCCTTTTGTATTAAATTACTAACATTTCACTTGAACCTCTTGTGTTTTTTTTTTTTTTTTTTTAAGATTTATTTATGCATACAAGAGCTGGAGTGTAGGCCAGGGGTAAGGGGGAGGTGAGAGGTTTCACCAGAGACAGCATGGGGACCAGAAATGGCAGATATACTGAAATACAGGAGAGGTCTGTTGTGCCATATGGATATCTCTCTGGCTGGCCAGGGATCGAACTCATGATGCAGTGGCTGGCCATAGCTTGATAGTGCTGTCTTTAACCCCTGCGTCCCCAGGGAGGACCTTAATCATACTTTTGATTGTGTTTTCTCTAATATCAGACTATTCTCAGCCTACAGTCAGACTATTAGAGTTGGTTATCATTTAATAAAAGTATCAAAATTGCATGTATTAATTTTCACACCTTATTTATACTTGAAATATTCATGTGAGGTTTTAGATATCATTTATGTAATTTAAAATGGGTATCTTAGTATTCATTCTTTGTTAAACTGAAATTCCCTACATGAAAAAAAATGTTTCGCTACCACTGAAGCAGCACTGATTAGATATAAATCAAGTCAAGTGGGCATTATTTGAAATTTCTCCTTCTTCTCACCCCATTGCTATTTTTATTCCATAATATTATAATATGCACTTCATAACATGAACTTCAATGTATATTTACATTATTTACATACATAAATAATTAGCAAAATATGCAAATGTCAGACTCACTTATCAACTCTTGTGAAAGAAAGAAAATGAATTCCCTACCCCTGTCCTTTTTTTTCCAACAACATGTAGATTGATCATGAGTTTCTATCAAGAATTTTTCAAAAGACTGACTGAATTTTGACTGACTTTCAAAAGCTGACTTTTTCAAAAGGCCTACCTGGTGGTGGGGTTAAGTTCCAGCCCTATCAAGCTAACACCAGCCACTGCAACATGAGTTCGATCCTTGGCCAGGGAGCTAACCCATATGGCGCAGCAAACCTCTCCTGTCTCACCTGCTGCTCCCCTCAGCAGTGTATATCAGTTGATCCTCCTGTTCTGCTCCCCACTCTGTCTCTGGTGAATCCTCACAACCCAACCCCCCTGCACCTCTGGCCTACACCCAGGTTCTTGTATGCATAAATAAATAAATAAATAAATAATCTTTAAAAAAAAAAAAGACTGACTTCCAGAGTATGTTCTATCTAGGCTTTGTGATACTTTGTTCTCCATCAATAGTTAAGTACAATAAGAACTGAAGTGCAGAGTAATGACCCCAGGCTGGGCAAGATCCCAGGAATATTTTGTCATGCTCCCTACATTGCTGACTGCAAAAAGCCCTTTGAGCAACGAAAGTTATAGTCAACAAATCTAATAGTGGGGATGTGCCTAGTGCGGCTCTGACTCAAGAGAAACTCCCCACTGGTTCGTTCCATCCTGGAGCTTGGAGGAGACTTTGCACCTCACCCTCTGCTCAGGTTCCCTGAAAAATGTCCAGAGTTTCTGGAAGCAGCCTTGAAGAGGGTGCAGTGAGTAAGCCAGGAGCAAAACAATCTCAGTCAACTTACTTACTGATCCTTCTGAAAACAATTACTAAGGGCCGATGACCATACCACGCTGAGTGCAACCTTTCTAGCGAAAACAACTAATTATCTCTGCAACCTCTGCAACTCTTCCCTAAGTGCATCCACTCTTAGTCAGTGGAAGAGAACTTGCTTGACCCAGACTTCTTTAAGTCTTTATTTGCCTTTGAGATATTAGAAATTGTCTACAGTCTGTGGCCACCGGGAGGCAGGAAGGTTATCTAGAAAACACATTACTGAAAACAAATTAAAAAAAAACACACTAGTACTTGTAGGTATAGCTTGCCATTCAGAGATGCTAGCCACCTCAGATAAAGCACAGAGGTTCCCCATAATCCTCCATTTGGCTTTCTGAGGTTCTAGTTACCTGCAGTTAACCATGTTGAAAAAGTCAAACACAAAATGAAAAAATAAACAATTGCTAAATTTTCTATTACCTTCTGGCCGCCAGCAGCTGATGAAATCTCATCATATCTGCCTCTGTGCTGAGTGGGACCTGACCTGACTCGACTCATCCAGGTTCCAGCATTGCCACGCTCACGTCTGACACTAACGTCACATGTCACGGTGCCTACATCACTCACCTCACTGCGTCATGTCCCTCAGACATGGTGTCATCTCACAGCATCAGCAGAAGACAGGTGAGTTCAGTGCAGTGAGATATTTTGAGAGAGAAGACAGTCACATCACTTTTATGACCATGTATTATTACGATTGTTCTATTTTATTACTAGTTATTGTTGTTAATCTCTTATTGTGCCTAATGTGTAAATGCACTTTATCATTGGTTGGTATGAAGAAATAGTATGTACAAAGTTTCATTCTGTGTGGTTTCAAACACCTGGGGGCTGGGTTGGAGCTATCCCTCCTGGGTAAGGGGTGCTAATACAGTAAATTCTGACTTGTAAAGTAATTCACTGCCATATAAAAGCTCTGGGGGATATTTGGCTCTCTAGTATTCACTCTCATGACGTAGTGTCTGTCAAGTCTAGGGCTTCATGTCTATCACTCAGAAGTAGTTTTCATTTATTATGTTTCCCATGTGCCAGAACATGTACCCAACAAAACACATGATCTTATTAGTATTCTAGTAGCTCTGCTATTTTATTATTATTTTTATTATTCAGAAATGACAGCTATCTTGCATACTTCTTGTTTAGTAACTACTATTTTTTTCTTTACTAAATATGTTTTACACATAATGGGAAATTGGGTTTTACTGCATTAAAAAAA